TTGGTTGCGTTGATCATCTTGTCTACCAAGAAATGTCGAACCTAGCCATGACTTTAGAAGCCTCCTCCACATCCTTTTGCGCTCTTCTCCTCGAGTAGAAAGCAGGACAATCTGTCAAATGCAGGGTGGGGTGCGCCAAAAGCATCAGATATCAAGTGTGCGAATCGGACGGTGGGAAGGAGAAGGACAGGACAAGAATATGAGGGGGGTGCATTTTCTCACTCACCAGAGTTGCTGCACAGGACGTCCTGCGTCACTGTGCCACTGCAACGTTGACAGCATGTCCAAAGTCGAGAAAACTCTTCTTCGAGGGATGACTGCCTTGCGAGCTGGGAGATGTGCATGCGAAAGGGGGGCAGGGCAAGGGGATCGATCAGCTCTCGGAGTGAACTGACTGCGCAGGCTCGAACTAGCCTCACCTTTTCAGCATATATCTCGGGCAATCGAGGTCTGCAGCGTTCGCACACCGGAGCATCTTTTCCGGAAGACGAGACGATAGCAAAAAAAAAAAAAAAGAATCTTCAGGGGGAGATATCGCAACTGCTGCATAGCACCTCTAGACTCACCCCCGAGCTTTGCAGGCAGAGGAGTCCTGCATCCGAGACACTGTGCAGTCTTCACTGCGAACTTCATCAACGAGCCTACGGTAGAGGTAGCCACTTGCACGGTGCGCGTATGAGACCCATTAACTGTGCAACGCAAGCGAACCGAGTGAGAATTTGGCGCTGCTTCATGCTCAAGTTGACAATGAACACTCACGCAGCTTCTGTGCACCTGCACCAGAGATGGGTTCAAAAATTCGCATCAAGGGTTTTGCCAGCTAATGAGTGGGGTCGGCGGCGTGTCAGCGGATGGATCACGAGCACGACAGGGCAATCGCAAAGCAGCTCACCTGATTGTCCAAGTAATACCTCGTATCGATGGGAATGTTGTGTTCAAGCACGTAGAGGGGATCTTCTGACTTTTCGTACGCAGCAGCGCCCTTTGTGCCCTTGACGATGACGTAGGCGACACGGTCGCCGAGCGCCGGCGCAGACCCAGCATCCCTCTTTCGCATCCTCTCTGCCAACTCTACGTGAGCTTGCTTGGCTGCGTAGTCCGCCTTGGCCAGCGCCTTGGTGATGACCAGTTGAGACAGGTCGATCTTGTTTTGCAGCAAATCGGAAATCACTTGCTTGACGAAGCTATTGTTCAAGAAGGTGTGTGCCAGGATAGGCATGAGCCACGACGCAACACGGCCGCCGGCCAACGCGTCGCACTTACTCTTCTGCTCCCTTGACGTCGCGGTCGATGAGCATCTTGCGCAGACAAGTATCAATGACCATGCGCACCAAGCGACAATTATCTCTGCGGACGGTCTGGGTGGCGCCAACAAGAGGAATGTGTAAATGCGCGTCCAGCGATCGGCAGCAAGCGTTGGTGTAGACTCACCTCGATGCCCTTCGTGTCCATCTTGTCCCACTTGTCCGGATTGGTCCAGTAAAGACCTGCATACCTCTTCTTGGAGATGAGCAGATAAGGAAAGTAGACTTTCTCAAATTCCAACTTGATGGGCTTGGTAAAGGTGGTGGATACTCTAGCAGCCGCATCCGCTCCCAGCTCCATGGCCCTCTTCAAGTCTGGCGTGCCAAACTTGACCATGACCGAGTCGGTATCACCATAGACGACTTCTGCATCGTGCTCGAAGCCATTGGCGATGGAGTAGTGCGACTCTACCTGCGTCTTGGTCTGCTCAATCATCTGCCTACCGTACGCCGTGACGCTCATGCTGATCTCCAAGCATGGCAACTTGCCCACCGTTGCACCCGTAAAACCATAAACGGAGTTGGCGCTAATCTTGAGTGCCAGCTGCCTTCCATCCAGCACGGCACGTTTGAAGGGATCCGTCTCCTTTTTCAAATCCGCTTTGGCTCGCTTACGAGCGGCCAACAGGTCCTCCAGCACGGTGGGTAAAAGCCCCTTTCGAACATCTGGCTTGACAAACGTGTTGTTGTTGGGCGTCAGCACGTAATCCTTGTCCTTGACAAGCTTCAATCGCTCGATCGTCGTTCGGGTGAGCAGCGTAGTGTAGCACAAGTTGTGCGCCATCATGATGGAAGGATAAAGCGAGGCGAAATCCAAAGTGGTGATGGGCGAATCGTAGTAGCCTTGCTTGGGCTCCAGCACGGTTGCTCCCTCGTACTGATCGTCTGTACCTTCAGACTTCAGCGAAGGCACCAAGTAATTGTCTTCGCGGGCCTTTCTGAACAGCTGCGAGACCACCTTGATCTGTTGACCTCTGGCCAAGAGGTAGTTGAAGGGCACGCCCGTCACGCGAGACATCTCAATGTAGTTGATGAAGCACATGAGCTTGTCCATAAGTCGTTGCGGCAGGTAAGCGTCTTTCAAGCAGTATACTGCTAATCTTCGACGAGCCTCAGGCCCTCCATTTTGAAGCTCAGTAATGAGCGAAAAGTGCACATCCTCCTTTTGTTCTCCCAGGAACTCAAACGAGACGGAATTGAGCGAGTAAGAGCGCAGCTTGTAGTCTCGCTGCATGACTTGCAGCATGTCCAACTGCAACCTGCCTTGCAACTCTGTATTCTTTGAATCTCGGGTGCCGTACGCTTTGGATGAAAAGTGCGTGTCCTTGGCTTCGGTACGTGTCACTGTGGCAGTGGTGGTGGTGCACCGCTATTCGGATGAGCAGGCGAACATTATTGACAGCGTGCACAGAACTCACATCGCTCTCTGCCCAGATAAGGGAACTTCGTAGCTTTGAGCGCTTTGGCTCGATCGAGGAGATAGGGAAAGTCGAAGTTGGCAATGTTGTACCCAATGACGACGTCCGGGTCGACAACCTGCACAAAGTCCGCCCAAGCTTCCAGCATGTCCTTTTCGCTTTGAAAGTCCTTGACGTGCGTGCCCACTATGGGGGAGCAAGTGTTAAGAGTAAAGACGTTTTTGATAAAGGGAGCCGTCTCGCCTTGACGAGTGACCATGCTGGCAATCTGGATCACCGGATCGACCTCGGCTTCTGGAAAGACGCCTTTTCTTCCTGCGCACTCAATGTCGAAGCTGAGGATGCGCAGCGGGGCGATGTCCGCCCACTCGTGGTCTGGTGCATGCGAAACCAAGCTTTGGGAGGAGCAGTTGACCTCGATCTGACAGCGGGACAGCTTGTCATTGTCCGATCGGACCGTGTAGCCTTCGGGTTGAATAGTCAACCAATTCATGCCCACAATCTTGTGATCGATCATGAAGCGCAGCGAGTAAGCGATGTTTTCGTAGCTGACCTGAGCATCCCCCGACGACATCAGATCCCTAAAGGACACTTCTCCGCGCTCCAAACTTCCCCTCACTTTGCCCAGATTGCGAATATCGCCAGTGGTGATCTTGAGAAAGGCGACGTCTTGATCGCCCAAATAGTTCATCAGACTCTTTTTCGCCACCATCTCCACACGCGTCACGCTCCTTGCGCCAAAGAGCGAGTTGAGGTGATTGGCGAAGGAGCTGCAATCGCTTTGTTGAAAGCCCCGCGGTGCGTGGATGTAAAAGTAAGGCAGGAATCCGGATACGTGAGCTAGGACCGAGTGACCAGCAGCAGTGACTCCATAGATTCGGATGAGGGGAGCCTGATTGGCCGCTTGATACTCTTCAATGTCGATCTGCTGAAATGTTATGCCATCCGTCTTGGCATCCAGCGGCTGCAATGCTGGTCGGGCCCATTTGTCCTCCTCCGATCCCGCCTCTTCCATTGCCACTTGTTCCGCTTCATCACGCAGCTTCTCTAAGGTCTCTACAAAGGATCTCGCACCTGACTTGGCTCCTCCTGCGCCCTTTTTGTTCACCACCACCGCACCAGCAGCGCCTTCCACTCTTCGACGCTTGTGCTGCGTGGCGGAAGAAGGAGGCAATGCAGCACGAGTTGTCGCTACAGAGGCCATCGCGAAGGTGGAAGCCGGACGAGGTGACCAAGGAGTGGAGATGCTGTTTGCGCGCGCGGCACTCGCTAGTGACGGAGGGGAGGGCAAATGCTGAGCGGAAGCAAGTCGCGAAGAAGTGCGAGCTTGTCAGGATGCGATAAGTCCAATGACAATCAGGAATGGTGAGTGTGCAATCCGCGCCGCGCTTGCCTTCTCCATTGACGATTGACTGTTGTGTCTGTGATTGGAGCGGATGCGTGCCCAGGAGAGGGTCCTAGCGTGCGCGTGCGCGTGCGCGTGCGCGTGCGCGTGTGCGTGTGCGTTGCAACGATTTACGCGTCGCTCAGCTCGACGCGTCTTGCTTCACCAGCGCGGCCAGAGAAGCTCCGCGTCGAGCCACGTGGCGCGTGGTGTTGTGCATGCCGATGGTTGCACTCACCCCGGATTCACGCACACCACACCGCACACTCGCAAGCCAAAGTACACACGCACGCACGGCACGGCAGCAGCACGCCAGCACGCCAGCACGCACGGGCACCCGACAGACACACTTGACACACTTGATCGCGACTGACAGAAATCACAAACGTTAATTGAATGGTGAATGGTGAATGCATTTTGATTGCGAGCAAGACTTTCGGACTTCTCCGCACACGGATCGGAAATCGGTCTCTTCCAATTCGCGGCTGATGAGGTTGAGCGGAATGAGCGTCATCACTCACACTGCACTTGCAGCAGCAAGCATAGCATAGCGTCCTTCATCCTCGCACGCTCTCACGCTCTCACGCTCTCACGCTCTCACGCTCTCACGCTCTCACGCTCTCACAGCTCACCTTCGCACTGTGACTGACTTGTTATGGCTAGCTAGCATCCAGAGTCACGAGTGTGCGTGGCAGAGTCGAAGCAGACAAGAGCTTGTTGGGACACGCGCTGATCCCATCCGACATTCACACGCACGAACGGCTTTGACTGCACGCGCATCACGCTCCTCAGCGCCAAGAGTGATACAGCCATCTCGCTCGACAAACACCCATCTCGGTCGCCGCGTATCATGGATCGTTTTCCAACTGAAGAAGCAGCGATGCAGAGGTCCACCTCACCCACGACGCTGCATCGTCTGAGCCAACGCGGATCAGCCGAAGGTGCAACACGCAGCACACCTCCAGGTCATCGCAGGTCGGGCTCCGACGCTCAGGCTCGCGATGGACGTTCAGTCTCACCCATTCAAGCACGCGATCGAAATTCGAGACATCGACCTCAACGATCCACAGCAACGGCAGGCGATCCTACGAGCTTGAGCTTCCCTGCCAATCACAGCTCAAGCAGCGGTGGACGAGGGCGCGACAGCGGCCTGCCTGTTCATCCGCTCGATCGTGTTGCGACGGACTCTCACAGAACAGCAGCAGTGGCAGCACCGCGGTACGAGGTGGAAGACGACGCAGATGCTTTGGCTCCTTTGCCGCCCGCCAATCGTAGACGATACGATAGCGTGTCGAGCGTGGGCAGCAGCGTCGCTCCTGGTGCCTTGCCCAATCTGAACGGATCTGGTTTGACTAGCAAGAATCGATCGGGCAGCAAGAGGCGAGGTACAGCGTACGTCGGCGCATCTGCGACGGGTGGGAACACAAGGGATGCCATAGCAGGTCACTCGGGTCCTCAACATACAGCAGATGATCCATTCGCTTTGCCCTCGCCCATCTCGCCCGTTGCGCCTGCATCGGGAGGCTTGGAAACTTGGCTACGATCTCAAGCTGTGCATGCCCCATCGTCTTCCGGCGCTGGCGAACACTTCTCGGGCGCTCCTGCAGGTCGCATCACCCGCAGAGGTCCCTCATCCGATGCGGGCTCGGATGCAGCGTACAGTGTTGGCGCTTGGTCCTCTGGCGCTCGAGGTCAAGGCAGCGGAGCTCGTCGAAGAGCAAAGCAAAACGAGGGCACCAGGCGACTGCCCGATTGGGAAGAGGCGGACCTGGACATTCAGCGCGAGGGAGAGGCAGAAGGAGAGGGTGAAAAGACGCCGAAGCCTCCTCGAAGGAGGGAAGATAGCTATGATGGCAGGAGCACCGGCGGTCGGTCTGTGGGTCGAGAAAATCCGCGCAGGAAAGAATCGGCAGTGGCTCTGGACACGTTGGCTGGCACGGGCATCACGCCCAGCTCTAGCGCGATTCTCAGAACCCCCTCAACCGCTGCCGACTTGACACCGGCCAAATCATCCACCTCGCGCACCAGTTTCGCTCCTCTCCCAATGGGCAGCTCTGCGCCAAATCGAAGAAGTACGGGTCTGCACAAAATCGGTAGCAGCTCGAAGTCGGCAAAAGACAACGATAGTCCGCTCCGGAGGTGGGTCAGGTGGATGGCTAGGGAGAGCGAGGGCATTTCTGCAGGCGCGGGAGAAAGGGTTACTTGGATTGTCGTGCTCTTGTCAGCTGTGTGGATTCGCTGGGCTGTGGGCCTCGCAGGTTGGAGCGGTGAGCTGTGGTCGGGTTCCCAAGTATGTCGGTGCACGGACACCAACGAAGCTGACTCTTGCTCGACTCGCAGGCAAAGGAATCAGTCCCATGTACGGCGATTTGGAAGCTCAGAGACACTGGATGGAACTCACTTTGCACGTGCCTGTGCACAAGTGGTACGAGTACGACTTGCAGTACTGGGGCTTGGACTACCCTCCGCTGACTGCGTACGTCAGTCTCGTGTGCGGCTGGATGTGAGTGTCGAGAGCGCACGCTCTCCTTGCGTTATGCCGAGGCTGACACCGTACTGCCACTTTATAGCGGATCTCGCATCCCTGGCCTTTCGCAGTCGTTTGCCTTTGTCACCTCGCGAGGCGCGGAAAATCAAAGCCTGGTCACGTACCTGAGAGCCACCGTGCTCTTCTTTGACGCGCTGGTGTATATTCCAGCTGTGCTCTTCTTCCTGTCCAGGCGGCTGCACGGACGAGGCAGGCGCACGCGATCCATCGCGGCGATGACTATCCTGCTGCAGCCCAGTCTGGTTCTCATCGATCATGGGCACTTCCAATACAACAGCGTTATGCTGGGCTTTTGCGTAGGCGCCTTTTCTCTGCTCTACTCCAGCCTTCCGAATCCGGACCTGCCGTTCTTTTCCGCGCCCGTTGCACCGGCGTCTGACCCGAGCACCGAGACAGCCCTAGCGCAACAGACGGAGTGGCAAACGAGGACGCGCAATCTAAGCCGCAGAGTCAGCTATGATTATGTGCTCGCTGCCTTCTTCTTTACCTTGGCTCTGTGCTTCAAGCAGATGGCACTCTACTTTGCACCTGCCGTCTTCGCCATCATGCTCGGGCGTTGCGCTGGACTTGCGCGCGTTGGCTTTGAGAGAGGGTGAGTGATCGTCGGTGTCGCGCGAATGGCCAATTTCAGGAGATTCATTCATTGCTCGCCACTCTAGCCTGATCTGCTTTACCGGCATCGGCGCCGTGACCCTGATCACCACTCTGGTGCTATTCTCACCATGGCTCTACAGTCCCTCGGCGCTCTTCCAAGTCATTCATCGCATTTTCCCACTAGCACGGGGCATCTTTGAGGACAAGGTCAGCAACGTTTGGTGCTTCTTGAGCGTACTGCCTCTTCCCCAGCGCTACAAGCTCCGCAACCTCTTTGAAGTATCCAGCTTGGCCAAGGTCAGCCTCATCGCGACGCTACTGGCAATCTTGGCTCCATGCGCCCACTTGTACGTCGCCGCCAGCCAGACTGTGACCATCGAAATGTTTCTCAACGAAGGGAAAGGAGCGAAAGCTGCGAGGGAAAAATTGGCTAGGCAGAGAGGAGAGGGGTCGGTGATGGGACGCAGCGCAGGTGGAAGGAGCGCGGGTCGTTCGGAACGCAGAGACAGGACAAGATCCATACTGAGCGTGCCGGGTGCTGCTGCTCGATCTGAAGCGGGAGCCTCCGAAGGTGGTATCGCTCCGAGCATTTCTGGCGCCATGAGCAATACGGGCAGCCTGTTTGGAAGCTCGAAATTGACGACTGTGGGCGATCAAGAAGTGGCGAGCAACACGCCTTCGCCAGCAGCTAGCGTTTTGCCCTACGCCCTCCTCAACACTTCCCTGGCCTTCTTTCTGTTTGGCTTTCAGACACACGAGAAGAGCTTCCTTTTGCCTCTTGTGCCGCTTTCGCTGCTCATCACCGTCAAGGGCGATGAGTGGGGCGGCGGAGGTGGCAAGACGGACTTTGAGTGGGCCATGCTCGGGAACAACGTGGCAGTGTTCAGCATGTGGCCCCTCTTGCAAAGGGATGGGTTGACGCTCCAATACCTCGTCCTCAACTTTTTGTGGAATTGGTCCACGGGCTATAATCCCTTTTCGGCCTTGCAAAGCCGACGCAAATCACTTGTCGGGTGGACGAGCGCTATGGCTCATGCTGCTATCCTCGCTTTGCACCTCGTCGAAGTGTTGCTACCCGCACTTGCGCCGAGCTTGGCTGCGCACGTCTATGATAGGTATCCGGACATTCATCCGGTCCTCAACGTGCTCCTCTGCACACCCCTCTTTGGACTCATTTGGGTCTGGGCCGTCGCGCGCCAGGTAGAAGTCGGAGTGGGATGCGGGATTGATCCGACGGCGTTCTTGCGACGAAGTTCGAAGAAGAGCGCGACGAACCAGATGGCTGCCAACAGGAGGCAAGAGCTCGCCAAGCAAGAGTAGAACATCGAGCCTTGTCAAGGGCTCGGGTACGATCCAATACAATATGCCCACACTTCATCAATCGATACCACTTTACGCACTCAAATTGACCTGCGTGTGATGGCACACTGTCTGAATGCACAGAGACATGGACTCTACAAGTTCGAGCGCGAGAGCGCCACGGACAACACAACACTCGATTCTGAAGCAAAAGGCTCGTTTCATTGCCGTCGCAGTCGTAAGGGGCTGCTCGTGGCTCGTGCCTGCGAGCACACGAAAGAGTCTCTCATCTCTATCGCCGGGAGGAGGTGAACAGTCATCTTACTCGAGCTGTCGGCGACGAGCAGCGAGCTGAGTCGATTCGCCCGCATCTTCGCCCTTGTCCACATTCGCACCGTCATTAGTGACCGTCTCGGAGTGATCGCTTGTCTGGTCGTGGTTGCCGACGTGAACTGTGTCCTTGATGTTGGATTTGGCTTTCTTCTTGGGCGTCGTCGTATCGGCTGCGTTTGTAGAGGGAGGAGGTGGAGGAGGTGTAGAGGGAGGAGGCGCGCTCGCGCCGGTAGGTCCAGTTCTGTGGTCCTCTGCAGGCTCGACGCGGTCCGGTCCATCGATCTGAACCACCTTGCCTTCGTGTACCGTGCCATCAGCATCGATCACTGGGCCTTTGACCAATGTGCCTCTTCGCTGAGCAGCTTCGTGCTGAACATTGTCCTCAGAACCCACCACTTCATCGTGGTCCAGACCATTCTCTACCACTTTGCCCTCCTCGATGGTACCGTCGGTGTGCACTTTGGGTCCGACCACGCTGGTGCCGCGGCGATACTGACCAGGTACGGGCGCGCCTGCAGCAGCATTTTCTTGGATCTCGTTTTTGCTATCGATCACCTCGTCTTTGTCGAGACCGTTCTCTTCGATCTTGCCATCTTCAATGGATCCGTCGGCGTGGACCTTGGGTCCGACCACGCTGGTGCCGCGGCGGTAATGGGTGCTTACAGGCGCGCCAGCAGCCGCATTCTGTTCGTTTTTGCTGCCAATGACGTTGTCGTGATCGAGACCATTGTCGACGATCGTGCCCTCTTCAACAGATCCATCCGCATTGACTTTGGCGCCCACGACGTCGACACCGCGGCCTTGCACGCTGTAGGAGCCTCTGCGCTCGTACATGATGTACGCTTCCTCCGCTGCGCTGCGCGCACGATGAGTTGATTCGCGAGCGCGGTCGCCGTGAAAGGGCATGTATCCACGAGCGTTGATGACCTGACCTTGAGCGCCAGTCAAGTCGTTGGAAGCGCCGACAATGGCAGTCTTGTCGGACTTGGTGATGGTGCCATCGTGAGTCTTGCCTTGTGCTGCGAAGGAAACGACATGCAGAGCGTCAGCATCGCCTGTATCACATCCAATCACATCCACCTATTACCCATGCAGAACTCACCATCCACCGTGGGACCGGAAATGAGAACGTTGTTGTTGGTTGCATTGTCGGACGCACGTCGACCGTAACCAGGAATGGGCGCTGCGACAGCGTTGGTGGCAATGAGAACCACGGTGAGGAGAGGCAGAGTGAACTTCATGATGTGAATGGTCAGGTCGAGGGGTTCGTTGTCGGGGATGAATGCGGTCTACCGTCAAGGTAACAGAACAAGAAAGACAAACAAGCGGACGGATGAGATGAGCAGGGACGAGATTGCAAGGGTCGTGAAAGTTGGATGCTATGTGAGCGTGATGACGATGCTGTGCTGTAGTGAGAACGCTCCTGGCGTTCGAATGTGCGAGAAGAGAGACTTGACTGCGAAGGCGGGGTCACTGCGATGCCGGATCGGACCAGAATGAAGCGAGACAATGCGAGGCGGAAGGTGAAGAAGAAAGTTGGGGGATGGAGTCTACTTGGGTGCTCCTTATATATTTCGCAGCTTCCTTTCACGCTTCCCTCGTTCGATGACAGACCACTCGCGACCGCCTCGTCTCGCACTCCGCCATTGCTTGATCTGTGTCGGGTTCGGCGTTCCAGCGACTGAAAGCGTGAGAACGCAAAGAGCGCATCGATGCACGAAAACGCCAACAGTGAATGCCGCATAAGCCTGTCCCCAGAAATAGCTTAACCCATCTTGGGTCTTGAGTGAGTGAGTGACTTTGCGTCCACCATGATGTCACAGCTTGGAGGAACAGTGAGTAGTCTGAGTGGCAAGCATGCATGATTGACCAGCAGGCGTTCTCAGGAATGTTTGCATACATGCTGAGCCTTTTCAACAGCCCAAGGCTTGCAGCTGCTGGGCGTCAGGCGCCAGGGAGTTGTCGCGCAAGGGTGCCTGGCGTATATGCAGGTCCAGAACCTTGTACCTCGTAGCACCTCATTTCTAACATATTGCTGGCGCTGGCGAGGAGAACATCCGTGATCACGAAGAAAGCAAGTTTCGATTACAAGCAGGTATATGCTGTGGGCATCATGATCGAGTGAAGCCTGCAACAAGGCTCGTCGGAAGTGCGCGCGCGCGTCCAAAGCACGGATGGACAATAGCACGTCGGCGTTTAACCATCGAGAGTCCTCTCATGCTGTTGGGCGCATTTCGGACGCGCTATAAGGTGGCTGAATGCGCCAACTGCAGCAAGGCGCCGAATGACAGCACGCAGCGCCCGGTCCACGGTTGGGTCGCTCGAATCGATGTGGCATGCGAATCTTGAATCACTCGCTCTTTGGCGATTGAGCTCAACACTTTCGACGCGATGATTCCTTCTATCCGCAGAGGCGCTAGATCGGGCGAGACCTCTGCAAAGGTCAGCCTAAGCGTCTTGGCAACAGATGTGCGAGACAGAACTAGAGTCAACGCTTCCGCTCACACTCGAGTTCAAGCTCTGCATGGCGCAAAGATGGGCCAACATCATCACATGCACAGTCGAGTAGAGTTGGTAAAACCGTGTGTATAGAGGCTTCGTAAGGCTCGCATGCTGCGCCCGCAGTATACTTGTACCCACCGAGGGGCCGAGCCAGGCGTAGCGACCGCCCTCCGGGGATTTGTTCCGACCCCCAGCCAGCAATTAGATGCGGAATGTGTGATGACTGACTCTTGCAGTTTCGGATGCTGACTCGCAAAATTGCGAGCGCGGTGCGTCCGCTGATGATGTTCAGTGAAGGTCAAGGCGAGTCAGGGGTCACGAGTGTGAGCCGAGTACGCAAGTCGCAATTAACCAAGCGTTCGTGACCGTTGCTGAGGACAGGCGGGCTGATGTCTGCTTCCGATGACGACGCATGCTACCAGGTGGACGTATTCTAGCCGTGGTATGCCTACATCGCCCAAGCAGCATGCACCCGTTGCCAGGGTTGACTTGCTGACTATCGAGTTGGAAGATACTGTGCTGCATCGCAGCCAGCCTCGCAGAGCACAGTGAGCAGGATGGAAGTCTCAACGACTTTACACAACTTTATGCGACATACTAGATCACTAGAAGCATGCATGTAATCACGCTGTGCTTGATGCCCTATACTCATGACTGCAGCTCCATTGTACAGTCACATCAAGCGTGTTTTTGTGCTCATGGAACGCGCGATCGTTCGTCAGCCCCAGAGCTGCTATAGCGGCAGGCAAGACAACGTTCGCATCCTCATTGAAGCAAGCGACAGGTGTAAAGACACAAATTTTGACTGATTCTGGAGGGAAACATTGCTAAGGAAAGGGCATCTTCATCGAGCGGAACAAAGACGCCTTCGAACAGGTCGCGAGAATACCAGGCAATCAATGCAAGAGCAATGTCAAAGATGCCGTAGGCGTTGAGCCTATCTTGTCCCTTTCAGGCTTCTCCCTTGAGAGACCTTGGGTAGCTAGTTCCTGCAGATAGTGGGCGGGCATTCGACCCGATCTGAAGGATGGCGTGTGTTTGTGATACAATTCGGAGGCGCGGTCTCGCTCAAGCTGGCAGAAAGACGAAATGGCAGCAGAGAAATCGAGCACCGAGACTCACGACTACGCGATGCGACACGAGGCGTGACCGGAACCATGACGAAATGGCAGCAGAGAAATCGAGCACCGAGACTCAAGACTACGCGATGCGACACGAGGCGCGACCGGAACCATGACGATGTGGAGCGTGAGATTGCTCCTTTCGAACATCAGCGTACGAACAAGCAATCTAGGAAGCATCAGATTACTTGATTGGACCAATGTGGCCCTATGGAATGATGGTAGCCACAATGTTTCTGCTATGCTTTGCAGCTCTGAACTCCATCAAATAGATGCCCTGCCAGGTACCCGTGGCAAGCTTGCCGTGCGAGATCGGAATGGAGATGCTGCTACCTGCAAGAACCGACTGACTGTGCGATTGCGAGTCATCCGGTCCCTCGTCAGTGTGCCTGTACGGCAAGGATTGGGGCACAAGGTGGTCCTGAAGTCGAAAGTTGAAGTGCATGTCAGCTTGACGTCACAACTGACTGTGCACGAAGAGGTGTTGGTTACTCACAAACACCATTTCCATGTCCTTTCGTACGTCTGAATCAAAGTTCTCGTTCAGAGACAAGCCGGCAGAAGTGTGCTGTATGCTGTAAAGACGGGAAAGCGAAGCGATACATCAGAACCAAGTCTTGTTGCAATCGTGGAGCGACAACAGCATTCTGTAGGATCATCCCTTGACCCCCTGAACTGATTCTTCCTTACCCATAGCCGGCTACCACCGCTCGTGTGAAGGTCCTTTCATCATCGATGTTTGGCGCTCTGGCCGCTGTTGGCGGCGCTGCAATCACGGGCACAAGCGCCCCCTCCCTCTTCCGAAGCAGGCTGGTCTCCCTGCCTTCGGAGTTCGCCCGCATATGTGATTCTCGTCCGAGCCCTTTCACCCGGGACATCCGCTCCAGGAGGACCGCGGGAAGCCTGGTCCCTCAAGCTCTAAAGTGTGCCTTTGGCTACTACCTGCAGTGTTTGCCATTTGACATCCTGCTTCCTTTCCACTCGATGCTCATGCTTTCCAACACTCACAACAAATTCAAGATCCCGATGTCCGTCTTCCTGAGACCCTCATCGATCTGTTTGACCACCTCCGAGGTGACCAAGTGGCAGCCTTTGCCTCTTGAAGCGAGCGTAAAAGTCTTTTGCCAAGGCATCTTCAATGAATCGTTCGAGGGTGCTGTTGGGAATGGAAGATGTCGTCAATTCCGTCGTGTGTCAAATCGCGGTGGTTTGCGTGATGAAAAGTCAAAGTAGAGCTGTTCTTGTCGCACGACAAGATCAACGAAGGGGGAAGCTGCCTTGCCTGCCTTGCCTGCCTTGCCTGCCTTGCCTGCCTTGCCTGCCTTGCCTGCCTTGCCGGTTCGATCTGGCTGCATCAAACGTTTGCGAGGGTGACGTCAACGCGCGCACATATGAGTGGAGTCATTCACAGGAAGATTTCACGTGACGCAAACCGCAGGGTGATTTTGGATCGTTGCAGCAGCGCCTGCGATCCTGAATTGGAAGCGACTCTGGAATCACACAACAATCAGGAATCACCAATGGCGCATGGCGAAACTGGTGAACAGATCACGACTCACGATGGCCATACCTTGATTCCACGATACCGTCGTTGGTCCTGACTGAAGTCCCGACTGAAGTCACTTGGTGGTCGATCTGGCGTTGCCGCCAACTGGATGGCTTTCGGTCCTCAAATATGCGCAACACGAGGTGCCGGCGCTTCGCAGCTGTGGATAAGCCAAGTCATCAAGGCGAACGTAGCTCTTGCAATTAAAGTCACTGACTATTTGCAAATCTCCAAGTTGTCCCTCGTCCACGTCGCTGCTGACATGCTTGATTCTCACAGAGCAAGCAGAACTCCTTGGTTCGCTCCCGAACTTGTTCGGCCACACACCTCGACTGCTCCTCGCAAGCAGTGATAGCTGCAGGACTTGACTGCGACTGATCCAAGGTATCTGGTGCTCGAGAAGCTGACCCGCGCGGTTCGCACAGATGAGGGGGGCCTTCTCGATTTTCAAGGTTGGATTATCAGGAGGCCCTTGTGCCTCACATTAATAGACTGGCTTAATTTTCGAAGAGTCCAATCAGATGAGCTCCGAGCGGCACCGACGCGGTCCGGCCAGCGCAACCCGCGGTTCGCAGGTACTATACTCCGATATTCGCTCCTTTACACGGGTCAGGAAGTAGAGCCAGCACGAGTCTTCTGTAATCAAGAATTCATGACAACCACGAATGCTGAATCTTGATGAATGTGTGATTCGAAATGAGCGCATGGGTGCTCAGTCAAGCATCCCCACGGCCATGCACCTTTGGGACTCCACATGCAGCATCTGCAGCAACACAGTTGTGTAGGCTTGTTTGCCATCACGTACATACGTTTTGATTGGGAGGTCACAGCAGCCTCTGGTCGAATTAAGAACATTCACACCTACTACTCTATTCAAGATTTTTGAGTGAAGCTCCGATCGTCGTTGTGGCTTGCTCTCGCGCAGAGCTGTGCATCTGCATCTGCATGTGATGTGCTGCTCCGTGCCACCGGATGACAAGGCGCGCAAATCAAGTCACGAGTGACGTCGACGAGCTGCGTGATGGCGGTGGCGCGTGCGTGGCTGCGAAGGTGAGATGTGCGAGCGCGCAGGCCAACATGTGGCTGGCTGGCTGGCTTCTGCAAACTTCTCGAGGCTGGTCCCCGCGCTCGGAAAGGACTGATAAGATTGCCGTATATCAGCACCACCATCATCAAGCAAGCACCTTGATCAGTTACGAGACAATAGTCCACCTCGCCCCATCCCTTCATCACCGACACTCGTGGATCGTCACCAATACCCGCGGCTCTTCGCATCACCCTTGCCCAGCGAGGAAGCACGGCAACATAGTCGACCCAGTCGCGACCAAACGTCTCACGAGCAAAAGAGCTTCCAACTCTCCGTTCTAGGTCCGACCGCGCGCCGAGCAATACCAATCGTCTCACCATGGCAGACGCTAATGTAAGTGTAGTACTGAGCTGAAACGAATCGGCTGATACACTTGGCGCTTCGAATGGGGGGGCCTTCCTACTTGCTCTGCTCGGTCTAGCTACTGTGAGAGGGTCCAGCGCAGCAAGAGCTGCTCTCACGCTCGCTCGGCGTAGAGATTTGGGGCTGGCACGTGGGCTGCACCGCTTAGATGACATGTTCATCAGGCTGCAGCATGCTTGGTGGACGTGGGCAGCCGAAACAAATGAGCATCAGGAACTCCAAAACGGCATCGGATGCGCGGGTAGTCGGCCGATGACCGATCCGAGAGCGGTGGCTCCCGATCACGAATAGGGATCACTCAAAGATGGGTTTGCTACTTTGGCGGAATGGAGCTATAGGTAGCAGCCTTCGAGACGGCTTTGCACACGCTTGTCGAGCTGCTTCGGACAATGCTAGCTGGATGGCGTCATTTCTTGGGCCAGGAAAGGAGGGTGGGAGGGAGAAAGAGAGAAAGAGAGGGAGAAGGAAGGGGTGCTCCAGGCGACGACAATCGAGGTGGGCGGGTGTCGACCAACGTGCAACAGATTGCTGCCACCACGTGTGGATTGAGTCAGTGCAATTGACTGCGCATCAGCCCTTTAATGGCTGCGCCTGGGCATGCCATCAGAGGATCACCACAAACACGTGGCGGAACGAGGGCGCACATCACCATCCCTCGAGCTGCATGCACTACACGATCGTCGTCTGACATGCTTTGCCGAAACGTTGCGCCTCCCGCTTCTCTTGCGCTTGCTGAGCTTCAGGCGAATACTTGGTGCTCGGGAGTTGCTGCAGGCGCAATGAGGGGCCCTCGGCGTTAGGAGCATGGGACTGGCGTGACCAAGCCTCGCGTCTGACGTCGAGTGATCACGAGCTCTGCATGGCTCGTGCTAGGCTACAAAAGCGGCAATATCTCGAGCACTCGTGTCTTCCTCTTCACCAAGCGTCCAAACAAGACTACCTGACCTGACCTCTTGCCCAATATGTCTTCCCCCGCTTCTCAGGCTGCATCCACCTCTTCTCCGCCTTCCTCACCTCCTGGCGGCGGCGCAGATGTGGGAGACTCGATCAACCCAGAAATCATAGACATGGACATCTTCAGCCAACTGCTCGAGATGGACGACGATGAGGACGATAGGGAATTCTCGCGAGAAATCGTCTGGAATTACTTTGATCAGGCTGCGGCTACATTTGTCAAGATGGACAAGGCACTGTAAGTCGTCGCGATGTTGTTGTTGTTCAGGTGCCAATGGGCAAGCGAAGCGAAGCACGTTGCTTCTCGACTCTGATGTGCTGAGACAGCTGACCATTCACCTCCCCTGCTTTGTCTCATCCGTAGCGAGGAAAAGAGTCTGCTCGAGCTTTCCACCTTGGGTCACTTCTTGAAGGGATCATCTGCAGCAGTCGGCGTATCGAAAGTACGGGACTCCTGCGAAAACATGCAGCACTACGGCAAGCAAGTGGAGCCTGACGGGGCGACGGAGATTACGGAAGAAGTCGCTCTGGAGAAATTGACTGCAACTTTGAAGGAGGTCAAAGTGCAGTACAAGGAAGCAGAGGAGGCGTTGAGGGCATTTTACAAGGCTCACGAGGGTGACGATGGCGATGCAGATGATTGAGCCTAAAAACGTAACCAGAAATTCACGAAGGCTGCCAGATTTCGGTCCGATCACGCTCGATTTCAGCCCAAGCAGACGGTGGCAACTCGTGACGACGGCTTCAACGTTGAAAGTCAATGGGCGCACGACCTTCATAAGTACCCGCGACAAACTGTGCCACGAGCAAAACTCCGTTCCAGTCCTCCGCTGGAAGCGATGCATTTCAGCTCGTCGCATTTTTTAGTCAAAGCACGATACTCTCTCATTCCCCTTTCTGTGCCCGACCACCACTTCGAGGGTTCACGATACTCTGCGCAATGCGATTTGAGCCTTTCGCTCCTGATCAGCACGTCTGGGACCCGCGTGTATGGGAAGCTCTGTAATGCGAGCTGGCCTCACTCGCACGCTTGGCTCTCTGCTGGACTCCAAGCGGATTTGGCCCCACGACTGCCTGCCTGCCTGCCTGCCAATGCACGAGAACCGTGCGTGCCCCGAAAGGGAGGCGAGGGCAAATCACTTCGATGCTAGTCACAGTGTCCTCGGTCAGCGCGCAGCGGCTCGATGCGCTCGTGATTAAAAGTGTGCGACTGTCGGTGTAGCTCTGCGGAGCCTCCTGGCTCAGCGATCACCATGAAGACTGCTGTGTATGTGGACTTGTGCATAGCTTGCGAAGCCCGCGAGACTCGAGCTACAGCGGTGGATGCAACGACGGCCCCTCTGTCTTGCGTTAGACGTGCTCAGCAGTTACAACGATCACAATCTTGAATCACAACAGTGAATCAACGAGTCGATTGTGCCTGCATCAGCAGCGGCGACGCGGTTGCTGTCATGCAGCACGTGCAGCGCCTCACCTCGGGCGTAAGTGCTCCTACTCCGCATGTATGCGTGCATTTCTTGGACACCTATGACTCGAGCTCCGCTAAGCTGCACACTCCGAGAGTCAGAGTGTGCCGCCCATTCACGATTCCTGCTTACATCGATGATCACATTATTCGCACCGATTTGCCACGACAGTCTCGACAGCTAGCTGCCCCGCTCTGGCCCGCTGAAGAGGCCATTCTTAGCCGCCATGGCTTCTCGACCAGCACCGAATCCAATGCAGCGGTCAGCAGATCCATCCTCATCCTCTTCTGATCCTTCTGGCAGTGTCATCCGCGCCGATAATGGGCAAAACGGAACATCTGGCTCCACTAAGCGACCCCATCGAACGTATGCAAGAAGATCGTGCTTGTCGTGTAGACAAAAGAAGACGAGGTGCGAGTTGCCGGATATTTACGTCGAGAGCAGCAAGGATAAGCCAGTGCCGGCTGCCAAGAGGTGTCACCGATGCAGCGTATTGCAGATCGAGTGTTTCGTGTGGGATGGCGACCGCAAGCGTGTCCGGAAACTACCAAGCAAGAGCGACGGTGAGTCTTGAAGTATGGCAGGCTGATAAGCAGGTCAAGCTCAACGAGTGTGCTTGACGCCATTCCTCACCAGCCAAACGCGGGAGCGTGCAGGCAGATGACGGCCCAGAGGACGATGAAGTTGCTTCGATTGCGTCGGATGGCGCCGCCGAAGAAGGGCAAAAAGATAGTAGAGAAGGCGAAGCTATTCAAAATCTCATGTGGCTGCCAGAACCGATTGCTCCAGCTGCAGAGGGCAAACAGGGCGGAAACGGTCATGCGACGAACGGCGCGGCTGCGCTTGCAGCAGACCCGTCCGACTCCGCTGCTGCGAAGGAGCAACGAGGAGCAGCCCAGGGCACCTCGGCCAGCACTGTATCAGTGGCGAAGCGCCGACGACGCAAGCCGCACGAGCAGGTAGTGATCAACAGCAGCTTCCATCCATATCTTCTCTTTAGCGAAGTCTTGAACTCCTACCCAGGCTTTGGGCGCGACATGGGCTCTGGCTTGGCTAGGCCTGCGGATCGGAGAGTCAGGATTCCTCTCGACCCTGCGGATATTGTCGACGAAGGGCTCAGTCAGCAATTGGAGGAGCAGTGAGTGCGGAGGTCAGTCTAAGTTTGACACGTTATCACGTACGCTGAGGCATAAGCGGGCCGCCCCCTCAGCCTGATGGGCCACCGACTCATGTACCCTCATATACCTACGCTGTCTTTCGTGCGGGCGGCGCATCTCGAAGATCCCGTGCAAGCCACAGCGCTGCTCTTAGCTGCGCTATACATTCTTGCGCTGAGGGCTTCAGATTCACCCTCCGCGCCTCGCTCGGATCCCGAGGCGACAAAGCAGCGTCTGTGCGCTTTGGAAGCGTCGGTACACGCGCACGGCGTAGCTGTGCTTTTGAGCAGACCCTTTTGCCGGCATGCGGTCCTCGCACTCGAGCTCATCTCGCAGTATATGCCGTTTGTGCTACTGCCGGCCTCCAGCATGAGTCCTGGCGCATGCGCGCCTGAGGGTGGTATTGGCCTTGCGACGCTCGGGGCGACTGCTCGACGCATCGCCGAGTGTATCGAGCTCGACAAGGCACCTCAACGCCTGCACATGATGTGTCGACGCATTGATCAACGACGGGAAACGCCAAATCCACGCTTGTTGGCGCCGTTGCTGTGGGACGCTTGCCAATGGTACTCGCTCGTTGCGGCTGAGAACGAGCGGGATATCGGCCACGATCCATGGTCTCCCACCGCTACAAGCGAGATCGACGACGCGATGACGGTTCTACTGGGTGGGGATCCCGATTTGGGGACGCCAATACTGGCGACGATGCCGTTCAACGTGCCGGACACAGTGCAAGTGCACGCCGACGGATTGTCGCGACAAGCCTGTGCCTCGAATGACGCAGAAGAGCTTGCAGCGGCTGCGGAGACGTTCATCCTCAAATTTCCATTCATACCGCCTCTGCTTGGCCGATACTCTTTGGCTCTCAGATACAAGTGGATGATCATCCGTCGCGATCGTTGTCGGATCATTATGAAACCAAAACAAAGCCAGCAATACCACTATTCTTCCCTTGAGGAGCACGAGAAAGAAACAGAGATCGCCAAGGACGAAGCTGCACTCGCGAAAGGTGAGATTTGTCGGGCTCTTCACCTCCTATATCTACTGATGCATCGTCTGTTTCTGCTCCCCTCGGCTAGCGCGCTTGTTGACCTGGTTGCCTGGCAATGTGAACACGAACGAGACACACAACACCCTTGCTTTTATGATCGAAATGCTCAACTTCTACGTTGGAGTGCACGACTCGAATTTGCACAACCTCAGCATGTGGTTCGCCATCTTTGCCGCAAAGGCAGAACTTGAGGCTGAGGACCCGTTCATTGGGAAGGACAGATCGTCTCAAGCCAAAGCATGCGACGAGGCGACTGGTGGCGAAAAGGAATCTCCAGACGGCGCCACTTCGACGAGCACGACGCCCTCCTCGGATGCTCTCGCAGCTAGGCGTCTCAGTAACCGGCCAGTCTCCCAAAAGAAGGGCGAGGACATAATGAGTCTCATCATCGCCGGCATTTGTAGTCAAGGCCCCATCGGAGAGCTACTGCATCGATTTGGCTTTACCAAGATTGACCGATTCGAAGAAGCGTTGGGCTCCTTTGTGCAGCTCGCTTCGTCGACGTGTCGCTCGGCTCGTGCCATGCCTCCGGTATTTTTTGTGGCCAACGTCGTCTTCGTCTGCAAATCCTACACAGAAGATGCAGCTGCACGGCTCAAGGGGTGGGGCGGAATGCACAAGCGAGCTACCACGCACTTTGTCCTCTTCTCTGAAGTCGCACGCAGACTCGAATCCGTTTGGGCCGTCAATTGCGGCCAGGCGAACACGGCTCGCGAGGCCAACTTGGGCGCAGCAGGGGCTCATCTCGTGCGCGGTCTCGTTGGAATCATGGAGACTTGGAAGCGCATCGCAGAGAGGCGTGGCGCACCGCCGACCGGCGAGTACAACCCGAGGTGGTCGACTCAAGCAGGAGTCTTTTCTCGGCCAGGCGAGGCGGCAACGGGCACAGATAACAGTCCAAGCGTAATGACGCGCTCCGACCTATTCGAGCCAGGCGCAACAACCGAATCACTGCTGGCTTTGTCATCTCGGCCAACTACCGCCACTTTGTCTGCTCCGTCTTCCACTGCCCCGTCGTATCCGAGTCGCGGTGATCTGTTAGAAGGGCAGTCCACTGCTCTTCAGAACTGGGCGGCGCCGGTCTTGGGCCGGCCCGAGTCTCAGGGCGAGCTGCTACAGCCAATTCAGGCCGTGGCTGCCGCTGATACCTGGGCTGGCGCTTCCTCGGGCCTCTACACCGCACCGGAGAGAGGAGCCTTGCCGCCAGATTCGAGCTTGGGCGCAGGACATCACACCAAACACGGCACGGGAGGTCCTGCAGGCATTGAGCTTCGTGCGGGCGACCTGAGCTTTGCAGACCTCTTCCCTGAGTATGCGTCAGCTGCTACCACACCGTTCCCAATCAGCCGAGCGGAGGAAACGAGCGGTCTGCCTCACGCGACTCAGAACCCCCAGGCCTGGAACGTGTCGACCAACTTTGCTGCGTCCGACAGCGCTTCAGGCGATGCTTTCTGGCCAGCTTCTGCGAACACTGCCAGTGCTCACTTGGCTTCGCAGCAAAACAGCGGCAACGATGCACTTGGCGCTATCCTACAATCACTCGAAGGACCTTCGGACGCTTTTGTGCCTTTTGTGCCTCTGGAGGGTTGGCTGGACCTTGCTGATCTGGACACCAGTCCCTTTGGAAGTGGCAGCAACTCTTCGCGGCCCTCGGCCGAGAAGACTACCGCGCAGCATCACCACAACGCATCCGGCGCTGACGGCTGGGCCAGCTTGATGGCTAGTTTGCGCTAGGCGTGACTGTAGTCTGGATCAGGAAGCGTGTACTTTATAGACAATTTCGCAATATTCACTCGAGTTGAGATCGACCTCGCCGGTCATCATCCGATAGCGCGACGGACGTTGTGACGAGCATTCAATTCGCTGAGAAGGACAAGGACAACCCAAACAATGGACGTGTACTGGAGACAACCACTGCGCTGCGACGCGGCCACGACCAGTGCAGAAAGCGTTGCCACAAAGTTCGGTTGGCTTGATGAAAAGCATCACTCCTTTATGGCAAGGCTTCCGAGGGGAAGGGTAAAGTAGCTTGTGGCAGGCGTCAAGAACGAGCCCATTGCCAGGTACTGCGTGGCATGACGCTTGGACTGAGATGAGCGCTCCAGCAGCACAAGGCACATTGTCAAAGCGATCACTCACATAGGCAACCATGGCCGTTGCGATACCAAAACCACCTCCAGCACGCTCCAATGCAGTATTGCCGGTGTAGTAGAAGGATCCGAGCAACAAAAAGGTGATGTCGAGCAGAACAAGCAAGACGATGAGCGTGATCGAGGAGCGCATAGCACCGACTGTGAAGACAAGAGTGACTGAGGTCGGCAAGCAAGGACGGCTTCAGCAATTGCTCTTGCGCCATCGATTTTTTGTTCACTCACTGCCCAGCCAGATGAATAGGAAAACTGAGCGCGAACAATCCGCACGCCGGTTGTCAGCGCTACAGCAACATCTCAAGCCCTAGACTTCCCATCTAGACTCACGGCCAATTGCATTCTCGGCCTCGGCAGCATTTGCACCATTCATGGAGTATACTCCAGGAACGCCATCGTACGTTCCCATCTCTCCAAAGAACTGGTTGGCGTCCAATCTGATCAGCCAGGGTCTTCAGCTCTGGACAAGGAGGGCAGCTCGACTCACCGGAATGAAGATCATTGAGAAACCCCACCAGAACATGCCATAGCAGCAGAACTTTCGAGGCGAGGTCGTTAAGGTGCGCCCGTCAGACCGAACCAGCCTCATGTTCCATAGCCGAGATCCCTATCTGTGCGCCGCGTGGCACTCACAATACTAGCACCGAGCGTGTTGCCGCTTGCGAATTCCAAAAGTCCAGCGAGGTACTGCACGAAGCCTCCGTAAAAGAGACTAAAAGTCAAGACCGCGTTGGGAACGGTGATTCCTTGCACCCCGGCATTATAGAGTGAGAGAACAAGCGTGGTTGTTGCGAAGGACATTGCGCCTAGAGGTAGAGGGTTGGCATATTTGCGGTGCGATGCTCCGATAGCTATCAGGTCATCGTTGGCCAAGTGCCCACCCGGCGTAATGTCTGCGAGGGCAGTCAAGCCATTCGCGATGCGAAGCCGTCAGCAAAGAAAGAGACAACAGAGTAGGAACCTCGACTGTAGATCGAATTGCGCTCGGATGTAGCTTATCGTAATGTCGAGTGCCATTTCTTCTCCTGCTCTACTTTTGAACTCACATCGGTTCATGCTCTCCCCGCCAGCATACTCCTTGCCATCGCCGTTGGTGGCAGTTCGCGCGCTCATAGGTTGTTGCGCCTCCGCCTCGTGGAGATGCTTCTCCGCGTGAGAGCTTCCTTCGTTATGCTGGACGACTGACATCTTGCTGAGTGAAGAGCGGCAGAGTTGCTTGCCAAGTGAGAGTAATAAGATTGAGCTGGAGGCGATGTTAGAAGGGTAGAGAACGTCTGCAAGGACCGGTCGAAGGGAGGATGTCGAGGCTCACCAATCACATCTATCTCTACCAATGCACAAGACTAGCCTTGCACTGCTCCGCACATTTGAACATTGTGGGCTTTTGCATTGAAAGAGAGTCTTGACCATCGATGCGGCTTGTGCTGAGACCTGACTCAGAGGCCCCTCGCCTGATTGAGACGGGCGATGAACAGGGTCAACTCAGACGCACTCCCTTTTGCTTGGAAATGAGAACGAGCGGAGCTACCACGGACCAAGCGCGAGTAGCCAAGACGTGGATGACCGAGACAGACGCAGTGCTCATCTCATGGATGCATGTACGGTAGACTCCACATTTCCAGGGGCCTCCAGGAAGATGAAGCCCCACAAAATTGGCCGTTCTGCGTGCCGGCTTGGCTACCGAACAATTCAATCGCACCGTGAACATTGACTCTCACTGGCCATCTTGATCAGCCACACGGAGGGTCAGCCGAGTCACGCAATCCATCCGCAGGTCCTCGACGCAACGAAGAAAGGGGGAGGAACCGAATAAGCGTCCTCTTCACCCTCAATTGCTCATATCAGCTTCACTTTCCCATTCAATTTTTCTGGCAGAGGATGTGCCGTTCAATTGTTGGCAGTGCGGCTTTTCCGTATCTCTCTGCATATTGTGGAGGAATGCCACCGCCTCGCCATGCCCGCATGGGAAAATGTAGCGCGTACGCATGCATCGGAAATGTCGTGTACGGACCCGCTAGCCGTGCGAGGCACTGTATCGAGCTTATGTGTCGCGCTAAAGTGCGGGGTAAACGGGGAAGAGGGTCCTCGTGCCAGCCTCGTAACACCAAGGGAACGGGGGTGCCGAACACTCACACTAATTGAGGCGCGAGTGCGTGAGCAGCAGGTCGTGACTGTCATTCCGTGTGTTTCGGAGCAATCTGCGCGTCCAGCCGTACGAGTTGAAGGAGATACTACACTGATGAGTCATTGACCCCACTACCAATCCAGCCAAGGCATCTGGGTAGTCAGGGATACACCGAGGCATACCTAGCAGCTCCTACACAATCAGAGTGTCGCTCAGGAGACGGAAATGACGGCGAGGGGGTTTCCGCTGGGCTTCGGTTCTGTTCTTGAGCTACTTACTGCCCGAATGCCAAGTAGCCAGCAGAGCACCCCGTTACGAGTGGTCGACCGGCCCGCTCGGCGGTCCTCAGACGAAAGTGCACACAATGAAGTAGGGGAAGACTGCTGTAGGGCGCATCTTTGCTGCCTTGGGCCAACAGCTGCGTGCTCTTGAATATGCTCTCGAGCAAGTATCAGTAGGCAGATTGCAATCACATTGCTGACACCGAGACTCGACCATCTCATCTCTCACATACATCCGCGCCGCCTCGCGCCTTTCCCTCTTATCACGATCGACAATCTTTCTCGCTTCTTGCTCAACTCGCAATGTCGCGCACGCTAAAGCAACAATGGGGTCTGGAAGCGGACCCTCATGCCAATGAGCATGTTATGGCAGGCTCGACTAGGCTGACCAAGACTACTACCGTTGGTGGGCACGAAGTCGGCTCCCAGCAGCCCGGTCTGCCTGTCTATCATCGTAGAATCGCCAAGTGAGTACAGCTTGAGCAGAATTGACACCGCAGGAGTGCCTTTGAACCAAGCTTGCTTGTGGGCGGACGGGCCCGCGGATCTCGCAAGGCGCGCGTCTTCAAAGAGCGGGACCGAGCTAGCCTGCTCACTACACCACAAGGGGCCCATTTTGACCGTTTGTCATTTGCTCTCGAGAAGGCTCAGCATGCAGAGAGGGCTAGGACCAAATTGACTGTCGAGACTGACTATCCTGCAACTCCACACCCATCCTGAAAGCCCTTTCCCTCTCTTTGCGATCGGTATCGGCGCCTCTTTGTTGATTCTGGGTTTAGTATTTGTCGGTCATCGAGGTCTAACAAGCCCTCACATCGGACTCAATGTCGGTCTTCCACTTGGAGGCATTGGACTGCTGACAGCAATGGTCTTTGCATTTGCCGAGGGCAACACTTTCTTGTGTGTTGCTGCTGGTTCTCTCGGTGGGCTCATCGGAGGTACAAGCCTGGGTGAGCAGGATGCAGGACGCGCGATAGTAACACAGGAGGTGACTCGCTGACAATGTTCGTCCCTTCAATTTGCTAGTAAACCTTCCCTGGACTGGCATTCAGGCTGCTTACATCATGGAAGCGGAGGGCAATATCCCCCTGGGTACGAAGGAGCTTTACAATGTACGCCTTCAAATTCCGGAAGAGCATCTACACGAGCTGACCAGATTTGTTTCCGTCGCTTATCTCTTGACATTGGATAGGCCTTAGCGGTTGTGTTCATTTGCTCCTTCGTTCCGGTCTTCATCATCTTCCTTGCGTCCTTCAAGACTGCAGCTCCAGTCTCTTCAGCAGCCCTCTTCATCGTCATAGCCCTCATTGTGCTCGGAGTCGGCTTCAAAGAGTTTCCGGCCATTAACCTCATGAAGACCGGAGGTGCTTTGTTCATTCTTGTAGGCGTCACACTGGTGCGTTCGCGTGGCGCACTTGACCAAACCAAAAGAGCCAAAGCACTCACAAATGTCTGCGCAACCTCCTCATTCAGTTTTACTCCGCTGCATCGGTTCTTCTGGCCGAGGAAGGAGTTCGCATCTTGCCTGTTCTCCCTTTGCCGCGAGGAGACTGAGCTTCACCTTTACTCTCGCCGTAAAGGAGCCGAGTTGTGCGCACTCTGTTCCGTTGGCTATTTGCACCTCATGTGCCGTTTGAGTCACGTCGTATGTGTGCGCAAATTTCAATGTAATCCATTGCAAACCGTGCCAGTACGAGCGGATGCACCTGCCGCGTTCAGTCCAAGAGGCTCTGGCCTATCAGCGATCACTATCATCCAGTGCAGCGTCTGAACCACCATCATCAGTGCTGAGTCGACTTGCACCATCGACCTCCACGGCTCTAGGCTGATAGTCCCGAGCTTGAGCACCGTGCGCCGCTCCTTGATCCGTGATGCCCGGCCCTTGAACTGCATATCCGCCTCGATCTGGGACGAGCTTGTCGTGAAGCTTGTCCAACAGGCGCGATTTGCTGAGTACAGGTGCACCTTGATCTTGACGCTCCAAATGAGCGACCTGGACGGACGGCTGACCCTGCGCACGTTCGGTAGAGATGGGAAGGACCGCAGAGGTCTTCTGCGCCTTGTGACTACCCGAAATGACCTTAGCTGGAGGCGGGCGTGAAGCCTGCTCGGGCTCGTCAGAAGACTCCGAGTCCGCCCCTGTGCTTACCTCTCCGGTTTGTTTCCGTCGAAGCTTACGGATTGCGGGAAGTGCGAGAAGCGGGAGCCATCGTTTGGAAGGCGGCAGGTCATCAACTTCATCGACTGCGTCTGCAGCAGGGATCCGGTATGGCAAAGGCGTCTCCCGCGTGGTGCGGTACATGTCCACATTTCCCTGCAGCGTGGGAGACGACATAGTGCATCAGAACGATATCATAGAGATATGGATTGCCGCGTGTTCAACTCACGAGATGTTCATTCTCCTGCGCGTGCCCGGCCGATAGGGCTGTGTCAGACCGGATCGCCAACACTCATCGATGCACTTCAGCTCACCAATCTGAACACGTTCCATTGCAGCCTCCTCAGCGCCTCCAGCAGCGCAATGATGAAGACTTTCAGTGTTGCGGATGCAGGTCCAGGGAAGAGATAAATGGTCCAGCTAAAACGGAGTAAGGTATTGGAGATGATGGCAAAATAGTAGAAAGCTGGTGGCCAGGTGATTTCATCACGAAGCATCCAGTGCTTTGCACGAGGTCGCAACACCGACCAATCCATCAGGAGATCCCACGATCCGGCGTACAGGCTGTATAGAGTAGCAAAGAAACACCAAAAGATAAGGTCGCGCTGCCTGCTGCTGCCGTGATACCTGTAATTTAGGTACGACCAATAGAAAATTACGCCCGCTGTGTATTTTGCCGCGTTCACCAGATGAAGATAAGCTGTTCTTTTGCTATCCTCAAAACGCCGGAGGCATTGTCCAAGACGAAGTAGAGCAGGCAATGACGAGAGAGCGGCTGTCCAAAAAGTTCCATTAGGATTGCACGTTGGTGGCCGCCAGCTCTTGTTGTACTCGCATCCAATGACCCATAGATTGGATACTGGCCACGCCAGAGAGTTGAGCTCATCGCCGATGAAGAAGTCCCGGAACTCCACCCCAAATAGCAAGCCTGCCGCAAAGACTCTGACCAAGCTTCTGACGAACCATTGTCGGCTGTGGGGAAGATTGATCGGTAACGGATTGAGAAGGACGAGGACGACTATGACCAGCCAGACGAGGGGCCAGGTCGTTGGAGCGATGGCGCGAGGGAAAGGGTTCAAGAAGCTGATCCAAAACGCCACAGCGAGAAGGAGCAGGAGGAAGGCCGGGCTGAAGTGTGCCGTCAAAAAGTCGTTTTATTCAGCCGTGACACGACGAGAGCAGTGGACAGGGTCTTTCGAAGCTCACATTTCAAACCATTGTCGATGATCCATCGCGTGCCTGACATCAAATTCAAAGATGAAGCTAGTGTTTATCCGTGCCCGGTGCCAAGTTGCTAAATTGAGACCAAATAATAGCGCGAATAAAGTAGGCAAGCTGCAGAGAGGCGCGTTTCAGAATCCAACTTATGATGGCCGAGGTTGCTTGCCTGCCTACTCACAAGAGTGCCCCGTACACCCGCAAAAGCTGATCCCACTGCGGAATGTCGAATCGCGAACCACCCTGCTTCTCTGCCTCCACGAGACCTGCGACGGCAGCACAGACTGCTACCCCCAAATAAAAGCCTGTTCGAGAGGCGCTCATGTGATGCGTATGATGTTCTTCACCACCAGTGCCGGCATTTACCCGCAGTCGCTCGACAGCTCGCTTGCGGTTTCCATGTTCAAAGTATGCACTGTACTGTCGACGGAGTGTCACTAATGACGATCAGCGACCAGGGCGAGCTGAGATTCTAGGGCGTTCACTCACAATTTCCTCGGTGCCTTTAATCAGCCTCTCGATGCTGTCCGATGTCACAAGCACACTGCGGGAAACGTGGACATGATACCACGCGTCGTTGATGCCTGTTACGCCTGTTGCCTTTTCGAACTTCTTGAGGATCTTTCGCACGCCGATGGAGTTGACAACACGATAATTCTTCGGAAAGGAGAGTCAGCCTGCAGCCACTAGACCTGCGCTGCCTTCAAGCGCCTCTCACCTTGAGCAGCTCGAGTCCTCTATAGAATTCTAGCACTGCAGCCTTGAGCTTCTTGCGGGCGGCTGGGATGAAACATTCATGTCAGAAAGAGTCTGTCTTGGCTGACTGCTTGCAAATCACCTGTGTATCGCTGAGGATCGTGGGACATTGCGGCAGCACGATTTTGTTTTCGTAGCTCCTCGTCATTCCAGACGTCCGAGTCATTGCCAGCGTCAAGAAGCCGCCGCAACGCCAGCGACCGTCTTCGATCGCCTTCGTCCTGAGACTCATCGGCGTCACCTGCTCGCCGCTTCCCGTGGTCCACCTTGCCCTCGTTCTTGGCGTTGGGAGAGAGAGCAGCTCCAGCGGCCGGCGGCAAGGAAGAGCGGGGGCTGTCTAGGCCCCTCGTCAGACGTTTAGCAACTGGAATGATCGAGGCAACTCCAATTTTGTCTGCCACTTTGTCTGAGAGGTTGGGCGGATGCATCGCCTTGTACTCCCTACGATGATCAGCGAGCTAGCGGTGACGGATGTCAGCTAGGTAGCGGAATCTTTTCGGCATTCATGATTGGTGCGTCACTTACTTCACGCAGTTGTCGTGCCAGTAGCTCGAATTTCTTGTGCGCTTCGTTCTCCCTCGCTTCAAAGAAATCGACGATACGCTTGTGCTCAAACTCCAACGCACTGAAAAATTTAGACTCTTGGTTGTCAAAGTTGTCGGCAATGAGTTGGTCAAGTGAGACTCTGTGCTTTTCAGCTGAATCACGGCAGGTGGGCTAATTTGTCAGTCGAACAGCTCTGATTGCAAAGAAGTTGCGAGAGATGCGTACATTTCTTGCCTCCCTTCTTGTTGCGAGAGCCTTTTGACTCCTCCTTTCCACTCCCAGCCAACTTGGAGGAGGTGTCTTGCGATGCACCCCGGCCGGCTGCGCCTTCAAGATGTGCTTCGGCAGACGAGCCGAAATGTGCCGGTTCGGGCGCTCTCAGCGAGGGCTCGGCAATGCGTGAGGGACCAGCACTGGCCAGGGTTGATGCAGTGTTCGGCCTTTGGGCCTCAAGATCACGTTTGTCAAATGGGCCCGTCCTCGATCCCTTGAGCTTCCCAGCTTTGGCTGGCTCCACTCCTACGCGAGTATCATCGCTGTCAGGTCCAAATTCGTCCGCTGCGTTGACATCGCTGGCTGTGCTTTTGCTAGCGATGGCTAATCCCGTCGTGGCGAGGTTGACCTGAGGGAGTTCTTGCCCGCTGCGCTCGCGCTGGCGTAAAGGGGGTCGAGCAGCACCATCATCTTCCTCTGAAAGCGTATTTCTGGCATCGTATGAGACTCCCGAGACTCTGTGGCTGCTCGCACCTTTGCCGAGAGCTCTGCGTCGCAAGCCTTCGAATGCCGAGCCGGTGGACTCGGAGGTGGCAGCTTTTTGAAGCTCGAGGCTTGTGCGGGTCTGGTGCCGAACAGCAACCTGTTTGACTGTCACGTAACACAAGGAGGTGCGGGGATGAGTCATGCGTCACCGTTGTACTCATGTCCCCCATGCAGTCCGCCTCACTCAGCCGCTTCAGCCCTCGGTAATTAATGTACGCTCTCTTCCATTCCACTACCGCGCTGTCATCTAGATATCGAGCACTTTGTTGACGTAGGGACCATCATGGAACAGCGGTCAGCGGTCTGCAGCAGAATGCTAGCAATTATTGAGTGAGTACAGTGAGACTCACAATTTCATCGTGCCGGTTCGTCAAAAGCCAGGTGTTGCGTAAGTCGAAGTGAAAGTCAAGCTGTTCCTTGTTGTTCGCTCCAAAGTCTACGAAGCGCAGCAGCTTCACTTGTGGGCAGTGTGCTGGAGGAGCATTTCGGGCTGCCGCCTTCTTGAGGTTCTTGAAAGCGGGTCCGCGCGTACTCAGCAAGTCTAAGTGTGGTTTTACGTCGAAATGGTCAGTCGGGATCAGTGGATGTCCACCTGGCGGCGCTCCGCTTCGTGACGGAAGGGTCACGTTCGCTGCGCTGCACCTGGCTCTAGCAAGTCCTTTGGTGTCGTGATGAGAGCGCTGAGGCGTTCTGAGGAAAGCCACGTGCGTCTGAACAGCGCGCCGGCTGTAGCCGACGACCGCTCCCCAACATGCTGGCCGTGGAGCTGCGCACTCGCGTCACGCCATGCATCTCGTGCTACGCCTCGTGCTGCAGCGTGCCTGAAGAAGGCTCTCTGCCTAGACGACGAGACGACGACTGGCCAGGCGCGAGTCTTGAGTCACGAGTTCTTTCAGCACGCAAGAAGGAAGGAGAGGCGCAGAAAACGCTTGGACCACGCGCGTGGCAGCAGCTTGCCTTCCTCCTCACCGTCCACCATCGCATTCTTCTGTCCTTGTGCAATCGCAACCTTTCAACCTCTCACATTTCAAAGATGAGCAACGTTCAGACTGTCCCACCTTCCTGGAAGGATCTTGGCAAGCTGGCCAACGACACCCTTGGCAAGGACCTGTGCGTATATGCATCAATCACAACGTGGGATCACACAGCTGGCAGTTGTTCGGGAGTGTCAATCGAGCGCTGGGTGGCCGAAAGCGTCTGCATAGCATCCTTGATGAGGCTAGTCGGCGCTTCTATAGGCTGGAGAGAGCTTGCTCAGAGTCTGTAGAGGTCGCGGGGTGGCTCCCAAAACGATGCAGCGTACTCGCGCTGCACATGAGACCGGCTACGAGATTCAAAAGGGCACACGAGTGAAGGGCTGACTCTCGATGTTCTTGCTATGCATCTTCACCATAGGCCAATCCACGGAAGCAACCTTGAGGTGAAGACTAAGGCACCGAACGGCGTTCAATTCCGAGTGCTTGGTAACCGCGATGCCAAGAGCGGCAACATCAACGGAGACCTCGAGGCTAAGTGGTCCGACAAGAAGAGCGGCATCACCTTCACCCAAGCTTGGCTCACCAGCAATGTTCTGAGGAACCACGTGGAGTGAGTGCAAAGACGTGGCACGCATTCACGCCTTCACAGCTCAAATTCAACTTGCACCACTCTTTATTACAGATTGGAGAACCAGATCGCCAAGGGTCTCAAGCTTGAGCTGGTTTCCACTCTCATTCCAGAGAAGCAAGCGAAGAACTTCCTGCTTACCTCGACCTACAAGATGCCAGGCCTGCACACTCGCCAACACTTGGATCTTCTCAAGGTAAGCGCCAGGGCGCGTCTGAACCTAGATCCGAATGTAGAACGTGGCAACGCCAGAGGACGCAGCGAGATGGGAGCCGAGACGAGAGCTTCCGCTGCATCGGCTTCACACGAGGCTCCAGCTACGAACGTAGCTCAGAGCGGCGAATCACTTTCCAGTGCGAAGTATGCAGTACCTCTCCTGGGACCTCCCTCGCCCCCATTCCCGTCGACATCTGGTACCCAGACTCCTGCGTCGCCGTCGCTCCTCTTGAACAGGGACGATGAAGACGTTGCTTCGCGAACTCTTGCGGCTGCTTCTGTGCCTTTGCCTCCTTCTCGGCCTGGTTCGCCTACTGGGCCTCGTCGCCCTATGCGGGAATTTGTGCCCCCACCCCTCTTCTCCGCACGCTTCAACGGTCGTGCTCGTTGGAGTGGGGTCGGAAGACATCGAGTAAGATGGCGCTGCACCCTCATAGGTGTAGCAGCCTTGGAAGCAGGGGCTAGTGGCGAGGCGAAGCCTGTGCCAGTGAGTGCAATTGCACTGCAGACACTACAGACACTGCCGCGGCGCGTCATTCCTTCATTCTGGCTAGAAGCTGCCGAAGCTTCGACATATTTTTACCTCGCGATTTCCCAGCGCTGCGGTATTGCTCCCAATCTTAGTGACGTCACATCAAGCTGATTTTCTAGCTCTACTTTGCGTACTCCCAGGGTCCTCAAGTCACTGCCGATGTTGTTCTCGGCCGTGACGGCTTCCTTCTCGGCTCTGAGGCTGCTTACGACGTTCGCGACGGCAAGCTGTCTCGCTACAACCTCGCGGCTGCCTTCCACGCTCCCGAGTACGCTGTGACTCTGCACGGTCTTGGTAACCTGAGCACCTACCAAGCCAGCTACTACCACCGTGTGAACCAGGACATCGAGACCAGCGCTCGCGCCACCTATGATTCCAAGGCTGTTGCTAGCAACGTCAACCTCGAAGTTGGAACAAAGACATACCTCGACAACGCCTCGTTCATCAAGGCCAAGATCAACAACTCCGGCATCCTGTGCCTCGGCTACACGCAAGCTCTTGCGTGAGTGTTCAGCTTTTGGTTGCTGCGCACTTCGATGTGTGTTTTGCTGACTCTTGCTTGCTCCTATACCCATCACAGCACTGGCGTCAAGGGCAGCGTCGGTCTCGCTCTCGACACCGTCAAGCTCTCTGACAATGGAGGTGCCAACGCACACAAGGCAGGCTTCTCTCTTGTCTTCGAGGCCTAAATGTGACCCTGAAGCCGGTTTAGGTAGATGACCCTGTGCTAGATTGGCGACCGAAGAAATGTTGCTTGCCCCAATCCACGAAATGCACTTTTGTGATGCGCACGACCAAAGCGCCTGTTGATGGGTTAAGCTGCCTGAGCTGCCGAGAGGCCTTGGGCACACATCGCACAAATATCGTATAGCCGTCACGAGACCTAATCACAATGGCCGAGCGCAAAGTCGGCAGCACCGCGTGATAATATAGACGCGCGCTTCGAGCCGCCGCTCGTGCGTTCAGGGGCTCATTGCGCGTGCGGGTCCATCACAGCACGGTCCGGCGCAACCTGATGCATGCATCGCGTCGATCCTTGACGGCCGCGCATTGCGTACGTAGACTCACGACTTCCTTTTAGCGTTGTGATGAGATGTAGAGCTTGCTCTTCTCCTCAGCTCGCCTGGCTCATTATGATTTGACTGGGTGGTGACTGCACGATGGTCCGCGAGTCAGGCTGCTTTTGTGAGAGTATAGCAGTGCACATCATGCAGCGCTCCACGCTCGCCTATTCGAACTGACGACGATTCGACCGGGCCGCGATATCGCGGTGCCTACGTGCCGTTGGCCCAGATGGCGCCAGTAATTGCAGGTGGGGCTGTACAAGTCTCATCCGATTCCGCATACAAGATCCACCCACACCTGGCTTTGGCTCTTGTCAGCAATCAAAGTTGCTGAAGTACACTTCTCAGTGCCAAACTTGTGGACAAGCATCGCCCATGGCAGTCATGTGAGGAGCTGTAAGGGAAAGTCTGCCGGGACAGTTGCACGCAGCGCTTCGAGGCACGGCGCAACGACGATCATGAGCTGTAGGGCGTGCAGTGAGTGCAGCCTTGCTTGCATTATAGTGCGCTGCGAACGCGCCAGCCAAGGTGCGTCCCTTGAACGATGCGGTGCACACCTCGCAGCATGCACGCGCGAACCCCTTATGAGCGCATACATTCTCAACACGCCTAGGGTGTCGACTCTCCTCCATGACCAGGTCCGCCCACTAGCAGGTCCACATGGCATCACGCACTCACCTTCGCCTGCCATGATCTGCTGACTTTCCAGATCGACCGTTACTTTGGGTCGCCCATACGTGCTCCACAAGAAGCAAAGTTCCAAGTTTTGCTCTGCCCCCAGCAGACGCCTCAGCACTACTTCTCGCATTCATGTTTTGCTCCAGTCAATGAGCTATGGTAGCTTTATCTGGCGGTCAAGCCGCAGACGTGGCGTCTGATACCTCAGCCGGCTCAATGCAACCCGCTCGCAAGCCGACAACGTCGAGACCGCCTCCCTCGCCGGCCTTTCTTGCCCGACTGGAACGCTTCGAAGCCGAAGCTAGGCAAGATGCAGCAGGCAGACCTGCTCGGGCGTTGATGGTACCTGCGCATGCCCAGCGGTTTCGCAGAGTCAGTCTTCCAGCGTCGTCTGACGCTTCAGCAAGTAATGATGGGCCTGAAAGGGTGACAGATCGATCGAGACAGGCCACGAGAGTTGTCAGCGCGCAAGTACGGCGGGGGACAGCACCTCAAACGTCGACTCCAAAGCCGAATGTCGCTGCTGGCCCTGCTACGCGTGGGCGACTTGGTGACATGGATTGGCAGCCGCGCGACAGGAGGATCGACGGACTTCCAGAAAACAGCGATCACGCATCCCTGTTTGGTCTGGACAAGGCACCATCACCTCCGGTGGCGCCCGACAGGACCGACGCTCCCGTGCGTGCACCCTCGTTCGAACAGAACAAGGTTACGCCTTCCAAACCAGTCCCGTCGAGTGGCAAGCAAGCACATATAGTGCCGGCGTCCCGACGCGTACGGCGGCATTCGGATGCCCCCCTGCAGCCAGCGGCGGGTGGTGACAATGCCAACCATCTAGCACTTCTACATCCAACATCCCCGGAACTTGCTCAGCCAAGCGCCAGAGCGGTCCATGCTCGACCTGTGCCTGCTCTTCAGAACATATCCTTGGAGCTGCCCATCAGCGGTCCTTTCTCACGTTTGGCGCCACCCTCCACATCCCCACATCAGTGTCCTATCCCCTCGCCAGCACGAACCGAAAAGCGCCCGCGGAGTGGCCAGACTCGGACAGATATACCCAGCCGACAAAGGACGCGAGATGGGTCTTCGTCGCCGGATCATCGACCATCTCAACCGAATCAACAAGATGAAATACTACACGCACATGACCCCTTGTCGAGACCGAGCGAAAGCACTGCTGGCCCAAGTCTGTCTTCCACCCCTTCACGTGATACGAGAGCACCTCCGCGTGATGCTGATGGAGTCGTCAAACCGAAGGCGAGGCCTAGCCGGCGGCTGGACCACGGGGGCAAACCCGAATTTGAAGACTGTCCGTGCAAGTCCCCGGATGCATCCAAGCCGACCACTCCGACATCAAGCAAATCTCCTGCTGCTGGACTCTCGCCGATACAGTCTCCGGATGGCTGTCGTGTTGCCCAGCCAGCAGCCAAGGTGTTCGCATGTGATGCCCCGCCGTTGCACCTCCCCGTACTGGACGCCTACTTGGGAGACCCCGTCCGCTTCACCGCACCCATCTTTACCGACGCAAACGCAATTGCCACCGATGAAGAGAGAGAGCTTTACGGTTATGACAGAAGAAGGGGGAAATTAGGCAGGGGCGACCTGCTTGAGGTTGCGGGCGCCCAACTTTTGGTGCCCAGTCGAGCTGCAGAGCCCAACACCGGCGTGCGTCGGCGGACAGCGATGCCCAACAACCCAGTCGATGAGGACCAAAAGCTGCTGCGTCAAGAGAATGGAGCTTCGCCTCCGTCCCCTGCAGATGGAGATGCAGATCTGTCATTGACGCTCAGCACCGGCATCGTTAGCGATACCGTCTCACTTGGGGGTTCTTCATCACTCTCCTCGGCAAGCAAGCCACAAACCAGACTGGAGATGTTCCCGCCTCTGATGCTACTAAAAGAGTCATCGCTCGACGAGCTCAAGTCAAATGCCGTAGGACCTCGGAAGCCTCCAGGTGGTTTCTTGGCCAAATTGCCGCCGATGGGAAGCATGATCAGCACCGTTGTCGATTTTATCATTGGTATGGAGGGCAGCGCCTTTGCTGCGGGCATCTTCCGACTTGAGCTGCTACGAGACTTTGCCCAAATCATGGCTCTGCAGCTGCACTTTGACGTCTCCCCTTCAACGGGCGGGACAGAAAAGTGGAGCGCGAGATGGATCATCTTGCACTTCATACCGTCTATATTGGCGCTTGACTTTGTTAGCATTCTTGGCAAAGCGCTCATCTTGTTGCTCATTTGGATAATCGTCGTTGCTGCTTTGCTGATCAAGTTTTGGAGGATGACTCGCGCTCCAAACCCGAATCGCACGATCGAGGGCTTTGTCTCCCAGCCATGGTTGTTCACGTCACCGTCCATGGGCACGAAGCTCGTCAACATCCTCACCGTCTTCATCTTGACAACGCTGTACATCCCTCTATCCAAGCTGGCAGTCGACACCATCACTTGGTCCTCGGACTTCTGGCCGGTCCCCAACCCCTATGCGAACGGCGACAATGTCGGCGATCTTGCACCACTTGGTCCCGCATCGCGTTTTCGAGATCCGATGGACTTCTGCTGGACCACCACCATGCAAAAAGACGAGTTCAATTTTGCTTGGCTAGCCGTGCCTATTGCTGTTTTGACAGTGATCATATATACTCTGTGGTACCCGTACGCGATGGCGAAGACGATTCGACCGCTACTGCCCCGCGTCAGCGATTTCAACGAGCTTGGAGTGCCGCGTAGTGAAGATGAGAAGGAGGTAGAGTATCTTCGCCTATTGGAGCGCGATCGATCGCCTCTCAACTTCATGTACAAGGCTTACAGGAGGCGATGGGGCTTCTGTGAGTGTTCTATGTGCTGAGACGAAAGAGTCCCTTGCTGGTCCTGATTCAAAAGCTCCCCTCAGACAAACCGCTCTACATCTTATGCTTTAAGCTGTCGAACATTTTGGTGATCGGTATCGTGACCAAAGATAACTGCTTGTTCAGGTCCATGCCTGGACGAACCATGCTAGTCGTGCAGCAAAGCACTCTCATCGTCTTGTGGAGTGTTCTTTTCGCCATCCACCTGTACGTCGTGCCGTTCAACGATCGGATCAGCAACCGGTCAGAACTGGTAAGTAGCCAACGCGTCCAAGCGTGAGACGCTTTTGCTTATCATAGCAACCCAATCGCACAGGTTTCCCGAGCCGGCTACGTGCTCACCGCCGTCGTTGGTTTGCTTGTTGCGCTTCAAGTGCAAGGAAGCACGGTGTATCGGTCCACGATTCTTTACCTCATCCAAGCTCTGACGTATGCGGGAAATATCTACTTCTCCTTGGCCGGCACCGGCTGGATGGAGCACCTGGTCAAACGAGCTCAATCGCGGATAGACTTCAGCATCGACATCTTCTCGCCTGCTCTAGACCTCGATAAGCATGCGAAGCGGCGCATTTGGCAAGAGACACTCTCCACTCTGCTCCTATGCGCACGCCCTTATCACATGCGTCCCGGCAAAGTAGTTGCCTTTTCCATCGCGGACGATTGGCCACCCTACATGCTGTGGTTCGAGGGCTCGCCGGCTGAGCGACATGTCGAGAACCTTAAGATCCTCAAGGCGATTGGCAGCGACACTTATCGAGAGCAAGTTGACCTCCTGCGCAATGGCGAAAACGCGGCACGTCTCACTGCAGTGATGGACGCAATCCAGTACCGAATAGCTGGTCCGGATGCGTATTGGCGGCCCACCAAGCCACCATTCCCCGTTGGCGTCTCTTCGTGGTTTGGAAAGGCTTTCCTAGTGCCATTTCCACCGACGCTGGTCATGCGGTACGACCAAGTCCAGGGAGACGAGACCGTGCAGCTCAGGACTCTGGAGGAGCTCGAGCTCTTCGTGGCACAAAATGAAGATCCAGAGGTGCTGTCTCGTCGTTGGGTGCGGACAGCTCTACGTGCACTGGACGGTCAGCTAGTTCAAGCTCCTCACACTGAAGTGATGCAGATCGGCGGCCGTCTTCCTTCGTCTGAGAGTTTCTTGCAAAGGCGACGAAGCCGCGTACGGGCGGCACTCGGTTTAGGTCCTCGTCAAGGTTCAGGCGAATTCACCCTCGCGTGTCCGACCTCGTACGAGACTGGCACCCTTCGCATCGCTCGGAGGGAGCTCGGTTGGCAGGGAGGCCCGCACAACTTTGCTTCCGGGTTCGAAGTGACAGTCACCTATGCCGAGGGCACCCGGCAAGACCCTGAAGGCCTTACTCGAGTCCGCAAAGCCCTGACGGTCGATGGTACGACGGCGTTCGGGTTACACGACGACTTTAGACTCACTTCCGATTTGGTGCGCTTCTTGCGTGCCAATGAGCACATCGTTCATGCGCATCGAGACAATGTCGAGCGGAAGCTACAACAGTACCGAGATGGCTATGCCACTGAGGCTATCCGCAAAAGAGAGACGCTCGACTATGCTTTCCTGACGGACGTCTTTGACGCACCAACGTTGGACCGCGTTCAGCTGCGTCAGACTTTGAGGTTGGTGACCCGAGATACTTCAGTGCAGCACCTCCCGCGCCAGTACAGAGCGGCAATGACCCTGCTTCACGAGCGACTGATGCACGTCAATCAGAGCCCTGTCCACAAATGGTGGTGGCTCTTCTGGGACGACCTCTGGCGTCAAAATGGACGCGACTACAGCCAATTACGACGACATCGCCGTGCCTTGTGCCCACACTTCCCCTCTAGCATCGCCTATCAGCCAATGCCCCGCGCCGAATTGGAGCGCTTTCTGGATCAACGCGGATTGTGGCAACGTCAGGGAGCGAGGGGCGTCATCAACCGCGGCTTACTGAACCGCCTGTATTTCTATCTCAATATGATCGTCTTCGCTCGGACACGCTCGTGGATCAAGACTCACACCATGAAAGACCAGCCTAATCCTTTTGCCGACCCACCTCTCTTGCCGGCCAGTGCGACATCGGAGCGGATTGCTCGGCACCGAAGCGATGCAGCGGTACGCGTCGCTCTCGGTACCGTTCGGGCCGACGGACGTGTCGAGGTAGAGGAGCACGATATCAACACAATTGACTCTAGTCTGGACCCTATGTCTCATTTTACGGGTGGCGGAACTAATCACGACGGCAGCAACATCATCGAGAGACCCGCCTGGCCTTGGGCCGAGCAAAGGCTTGGTGGTCGACCGCTCCTCACCCGCTCCGAGCGCATATGGTGAGCTGTGGAAAAGCACATTGATACTAGCATTTCCCAAACTCACCAGCCTCCTTCTTCTATTGCCAGGGACCGCGTCATGGAGTGGCTCGCTCTCCAGCCATACAAGGTGAACGCTCATTTGCGGACGCTGTATCTATACCTTGATCTGGTAGATGGACCAAACGGGTCAAGATACGAGCTTCCTGGCACGCATCAGGAATCTGCGTTTGCCGAGCGGGTCGCAGAAGAATTACCCCGCACCTATCCGAAGATAGAAGAAACCGCAGAGGAAATCGCCTTGGATCGTCTGTCTCGCCATATTTGAGTCTTGTGTCACGAATCTCACTTCAACAGTTTCACCTGCTTTACTGTCCATCTCCTGCATCGTATACCCAAAGATACCACCTGAATTGATATTGGAATCACACTCGCAGGTCCACTCGGGACAACTTACGGTTGCGCCCGGTGTGCTCTTTACTGCGGTCGCGGTATCCGCTTGCACGGCCGTGACATCGGCGAATGACGAGACTCAGACCGCACGTAGCTGCTGCTGGCTGGTAACACACATTCTCGACTGCTCGTCATTCTGGACCCTATTCGAGAGCTGGAGACCTGGATCCATAAGGTCTAAATGTGACGGCTATGTACTTCGACTGCAGCCTCGCAATCAAATCCGTGAACCTCTAGACGCAAGAGAAGCGTTTGCACGCATTTCGTTGCATCTTCGTGAAAGCGATGCGAAAAGCGGCGATGGCGACGCGGTCGTGGTCTGGTGCCACGCCTGCAGATGCGGGGGCGGAGCCAAAGCTTTCGCGGGGAAAATGGTTGTAGGCCGCACAGCAGGCTCTCTCTGACTGGACGAGTGCAAGTGCATCAGCGACTGCATGATGGTGATGCATGGTGTGCTGGGGGCCTGTCTGGCCGACATGGATGCTGACCGATCGAGCTGCTGGCACGGAAGCACGTCAGACTGAATTTGGGCAGTGAAGCAGTCTGCATCTTGCTCCTCCGCCCATCAAGCACCGCAGAAAGCGCTCATTCTTCACCCCGCGCTGTAATTGGGCGCCCGCCAGCGCGGCCAAGCCATAGCAGGGATATACGGTGTAGGCGTGTGCTCGTATAGCGCACAAATCAAGAAAGCTGGCCGAGCCGGACGCGCGGGGATAAGTACGCTCGTAGTGCTCGAAGCACCTGCCCGCGATCGATGTTTGATACACATATGCTCTGCACGCACGCAGCAGCCGTGCCTTGAGCATGACGCTGGCGACGTGGTCATCAGCAAAACGTGCGTGTGAGAGCCGTGAAGCCGTAGAGCGTCACGCCTGCCTGTATACCTGCTGACTGCCTGCCTGCCATGCCGCGCGCGCACGGCACGTCGAGGTTGACCCAAGACCGGACTGAGGCCTGCGTTCTGTCACCCGAGATCATAGCACCGCGTTTGCCGCTGTGCTGATCACAGTCGCTTGCACACATCGCATCCATCTGCATCCTCTGTCACCCCACCACCTTTACTCACGACTCATCGTTTCAGCCACCTCGGGGCCATCGACGTCGCTTCAAACGCTCGTGCATCATTCTCGCTGTGCTCTTCGTTGAATCCGTCAACGACCATTGCAAGTGACTGCATCCAGTAAGCGGATCACAGGCAAGCCGAGCGGATCTTCTCCATCCCATCTTGTTTCCTTCATCGCCGATCACGGAACGCTGCAAGTGTTGTAGCTGTTGTCGCATTCATCATGTCTGTCGAGTGAGTACCTCTACGCCTTCTAAAGCAGAGTCATTTCCACCTCCGCCATTCGGAGGGCCTGGACACCTTGACCTTGGCGTTCGACGACCCTCTCCCAGGCATCAAGTACGTCAGGACTTGTAGCTGATCACGCTCTCTCGCATGATCCTCTTCTAGTCTCAACCCGCACGTCCAGCTTGGTTTCCCTAGTGAGTAAGAGGCGGGCGAGATGCAACAGTGATTGAGTTAGCCGCGGGAAGAGGTAGCTGGGATGCGTCTCGCGAGCGGATTGCTGGTGATTGCGCCCTGCCAGCAACCAAAATCATCAGACACCAGCAGGGCTTCAGCTGCGCCTTGCGGCCATGGACTGGCTCATCAAGCAGGGCGGACGAGTGCAGTCATGTGCCTCGCTTGTCAGGCTGCATGTCCCGCAAATTCACTTCGCCAATGGGCGTCTTTCAGAAAGGGACCTTCTTTCGAGTGCTAGCAGGACGCTTCGACTCGCTGCTTCGGGGCGCGAATCAGGAGCCGGCCGATCGCTTGTGAGATGGCCCTCAGAAGCTGGAGCGCAACATTTGCGTTGATGCGCACGAAAGGGCCAGTCTCAAGGCAGGGCAGGAAAGCTCCTGTCACCTCACCTTTTTACGGGTCATTGCGCTTCAATTTCCTCGAGATGTAGTCATTTTGGACCCCGCTGGTCGCTTGTTACTCTGCACGCAGGTGTAAATACAGTATTCTGACGATGGACTCTCTTACACCACTAGGACCCTTGACGCAGCTTGTCAAGCGCTCTTTGCAAGTCTCCAACCCTCACGCTCAACCGGTGGCTTTCAAGGTCAAGACGACCGCACCCAAGCAGTACTGCGTGCGCCCAAATTCGGGGAGGATCGAGCCGGGAGAGAAGGTTGAAGTACAAGGTTAGTCACCAAAAGTCCGCTCCTTTGCGTCACCTGTGCCCAATCTGCTGGGACGGTGCGCTGACGCTATGTGTATGCTCTACGCTGCTTCTCCTCGCAGTTCTTTTGCAGCCTATGAAAGAAGAACCACCTACCTCTGCCAAATGTCGCGACAAATTTCTGGTCCAGTCCACCATCATCACTCCCGAGCGCGAGACGACTTCCCTCAGCGAGCTTTGGGGAGTGGTAGAAAAGGAGGACAAGAGCGCAATTCACGAACAAAAGATTCGAGTTGCTTTCCTGCCTGCTGCCACTGCGCCCGTGCCAGAGGAGGAAGAGCATGTCGGTAGTAACATTTCGAACGGCGACGAGGTAAGTAGAGGGCAGTTGAAACTATTCGCGAGTAACAGCAAGAGAAGGAAATGTAGCAAGCCGGAGCTCTGTGGTTCGCGCGCCCCGCGCACGACTCACTGACACTCTCGCCTCTCCCTTGGCATACTGGTACCCTCGCAGAAATACAGCACCGTGCGTGGAACGCCTTCTCGCGGTGCCAATGGTAGCTCTCCAGGAAATGACGATGGCTCCTTCTCTTCGCCTACTCAGGGCTCGACTTCTCCTGCCAATGGCACGACAAACCCCATTGCCGCTGCGCGCAGCGCCGCCGCTAACACCGACGGTGGCGCTCTGGCCGCCTCTCGCAACGCAGCGGTAGCAGCGGGCGGAGCGGCCGCCGCTGGAGCAGGGGCTGCTTTCGCTGCCACCAAGTCTGCTGGCTCTCGTGCGGTGGAGAAAACGCCCGCAGAATACCAAAGCGAGATCAAGCGACTTCAGCAGCAGCTCGATTCCGCTGCCAAAAAGGGAGCTCAACAAATCCAGTCCGCTAATTCCGAAGGCGTTAGCCTTCAGGTTGTAGGGGTTCTCCTGGTCGCTTCTTTCCTGCTTGGAGCCTACCTTCTTTAAGGGTATGCACGCAGTGTCAGGTGTTGCGACAGCCTAGCAGAACCTTAGCGCTGCATGGCAGGCTGCAGGATCTGGCTGAGACAACTTCAACGGAAGTAAGGGAGGTCTGGGGAGACTTTACGAGGTACGGCGGCCGTGATGCACTCATCATGACAGGCTTCACTTTGAACGTCTCCCGCACCACAAATGCCTTCTCCTTCCTACGGGCGCCACCCCCAATCAACTTGCAGACAAAAATGCACATACCAGTCCGATGTATCCTTCCCCAAACTTCCGCCCCAAAGCTTTCCGCGCACATGTTCGATCGTCCCTTTGGGTGCGTTGACCCATCCGCGCTCGCCTTTCTTTTCTATCACCTGCCTGACTCTTGGTCCCGAACCATTTCGCCCACATCACATCCAAGTCGAAATGATACTTTCACGAGAGCAGTGCCGAGGTCTGTCTGGTCACGTTGTTCATCAGAAACATTTGGTCTCAAGCTTGACTGCAACTATCGAGGATACGGATCTGTGCGTTCTCGTTGTTCCAGCTGGGTTTGCGGTACCTTGAGCGGAGCGTCATCATGTATCGAAGCCGCACAGGTGCAGAGACCTTAGAGCTGACTGGCACACGCACGAAGAGGTGAATCAGGAAGGCACCGACTCGTCACTCCGGAACCCCTGCAACTTCGATCTGGGTTGTAAGAAAAGATTCGTGACCATCGTGACCGGCTTACTCGCTGGACTCGACTTGTCAACTTTCGCCGTGATCGAGCACGTCTTCAACGATCGTGTGCCGTCCTCGTTGGCCATATTCAGATTGCTCGTGACTGTGCTCCGAGCTTTCGACACGCACGACAGCTTCTACTGATCGTTTAGGAGCCAGCGGTAGCTTGAAGCCACCTTTTGTCAGGCCTTGTCACACCTTCTGATCCCGAGGCCGATAACGGTGCGTGCGTATTCTTGATTGCTGTGCGAGATGCTTCTTTGCTTTCACGTGACTCGGTCTCTGGCTGCCCTGCATGCATAGCCAAAACGCCCCTTTTCCTTTGCATGGCGGACCAACAGCTCGCTGTATGTTGCAAGTGGCCCACAAGTGCGCAGAGAAGCTATACGCTTTCCGCGCTGAACGTTCTCATGTAGCGGACTAGTTTTATGATTGTCGTTCTCACCTAAAATCTACCATACACGAGGTCCCTTTTGAGTGACGGCGAGTGAAATCATCATAGAGACGGGGAGATTTGTGCACCGCTAGGGAGTTGTCAGTAGAGCACCGATGAGCCAGACCATGCACTGGAGACTCCTTGGCGATACCCTTCTGACCGGCCTGCTGCTAAGGTGCGAGTATCCCATAGCCCAAGAGGCTGCTCCCGCGCCTGCACTCACCTCTCACGACTACTTGCTGCATGCCAACTCAAGCCATCCTGCATTCAGCAGCAATATCTCGCATCAGTTGCGCAGTCCGAGAGCGCGTGCAGTCAGCGGCTGATGAGTATCATTCACGCTATTCTCGACGGCACCGCGGCCTCGGCTACATGAACGCGTCGTGAATTTTCGACTGTGCTGATGCGGCATCGGCGCTTCAACGGCTGGCGTTGGCATGCAAGCGCGTTGGCTGGACGACAACGGCGCGGGCGGCGCGCACGCATCACATGCGCGCAGACTTAATTGCATGCATTCGTGCAGACCTGACACAGGCCATGCACACTGCAGGCGCTGCAGCCGCGCAGGGCCTTGCTTCCCTTGCTGCTGCTGGCGGCCTGCTGGGGCGGAGGCTGACGCGCTTAATCACAGATGCGTGCGTGTGCTTGATGCCCCCTGTTGCTTCCGGTCGTGGTGCTGGCTGCTTGCAGTCTGAGTTAAACGAAAGAAAGCGACTTGCTGCTGCTGGATCCGTTAGTGATGCAAGTCTGATGAGTGTTCAGCGCGCATACAGTACCCGCCAGGAGACGACACAGGAGATCTTGCGCGCATTGTCTTGCGAGCGCTTGCTTGGTTGCTCTAGCCTCTGCACACCGCGCACACCGTGATTGCACGCTGAAGCATCGCTCCCGCCGGAATCACGCATTCATCACAGCAGCTTAGCGTTCAGCACCGCGAGCAAAGCTTCCACCAAGCCGCCCGCCCGATCACCTGCGCCTTTGCACGGCATTCCTCCAAGCTAAGGCGTCCCGAGCGCTGCCAAAGGTAGACTCTCTCCTTTCCCCATCTGCCTTTCATTGCCAGTGTGCATCTCACAGCGCTTTGAGCCATCCACATCTCCTCCCCTATCCCCTTGCCCATCTTCTTTGCTGCCTGTCTACGCGACTACCCCTCCGGCCCACCTTACCTATCCGTAACGTGCGACGCAGTCCGACACGTCAATCAAGCCAAACAAGTGCGACAGCATCCGAACATCGCCTCTTCGCACATTTTTCCTCTGCAGCACGGCAACAAGTCCCGCCTCGACTGCTCTTCACGAAATCACGATTTCCACAATAAGACCCGATTGGCGCAGCATCCACCGTGTTGTTTCACCTCCACCTGCTTTGCAGTCCAAGAGATAGGTCACAACCTTGCGCTTATCCTAGCCTCTGCAAAGCGATCCGACGACTCGTCTACCTGACACTCGTCCCTATAGCTACATCCTTTGAAGCGACGCATCCATCCAGACCCTACCGCACGCGCACACCTGGGCCTTGAGGCATACGCGCATCGCTGTCGCAGTCAAACACTAGAGCGACTCAAGCTTCATCATTCGAGTCTTTTGCTTAAATCTCCGCAAGCACAATGTCGACATCACACAGCAGTAGCTCGGGGTCGAACGTGGTTGGAGTGCACTACAGAGTAGGCAAAAAGATTGTGAGTCGTGTCTTGGCAGAGATGCATGGATGCGCAGAGGACTGCGCTCAAACTTGCGCCCGTTCCCCTTTGATAATGGCTTTGTAGGGAGAAGGCTCTTTTGGCGTGATCTTCGAAGGTAAGTGACGTGCCCCCTTGAACAGGCAAGAAGGCCATGATCGACGAGACCCCCAGCTGACGTGACTTCGGCGCTCTCAGGAACGAACCTGCTGAATAGCCAGACAGTAGCCATCAAATTTGTGAGTACGTTCGAGACGACTTGCTATTGCATGCTCCTGATCTGACTCAAGCTCGTCACTGCGCGCAGGAACCTCGGAAAAGCGATGCTCCTCAGTTGCGCGATGAGTACAGGACCTACAAGATTCTTGCTGGATGCCGTGAGTGTCAAGAGCATCGCTTTCGATCTCACGCCCCTGCTCACCGCATCCCATGTCGATCCGCTGCAGCTGGTGTGCCTCAAGTCTACTACTTCGGGCAGGAAGGCCTTCACAACATCCTGGTCATCGACCTGCTTGGCCCTAGTCTGGAAGACCTCTTCGATATGTGCGGACGCAAATTTAGCATCAAGACTGTTGTCATGACTGCCAAGCAAATGGTGCGTCGCAAACGTATCGCATCCGCTGATGCACTCCACTGACTCTGCGATGTCTGGTAATACAGATCACCCGGGTCCAAGCGATCCATGAAAAGAACCTGATCTACCGCGACATCAAACCAGACAACTTCTTGATTGGCAGACCGATGACCAAATCTGCCAACACCGTATGGGTGGTTGACTTTGGGATGGCGAAGCAATACCGGGATCCCAAGACCAAGCAGCACATCCCGTACCGCGAGCGCAAAAGTCTGAGCGGCACGGCTCGTTACATGTCCATCAACACTCACCTGGGCAGAGAGCAAAGCAGACGTGACGACCTCGAAGCTCTTGGACACGTGTTCATGTACTTTCTGAGGGGCGGTCTGCCATGGCAAGGACTCAAGGCGGCAACAAACAAGCAAAAGTACGAGAAGATTGGAGAGAAGAAGCAGAGCACACCTATCAAGGAGCTCTGCGAGGGCTTCCCAGAAGAGTTCGGTATCTATTTGAACTACGTCAGAAAGTTGGGCTTCGAGGAGACACCCGACTACGACTTTTTGAGGGAATTGCTAAGCAAAGCGCTGCACGGAGAGCAAGAAGATGGCGTGTATGACTGGATGATGCTGAACGGCGGAAAGGGATGGGAAGCAGGCACGAGCAAAGACCGTCGTGATGAGCGCGAGCGGTACAGAGACCCCCGAGATCACCGAGCGTCTCACGCCCAACAAGCTGCCGGGGCTGGCGGTGCTGCCGGCGGTGCTCTCGCGGCGCCTCAGCAACAGCTTCAACGCAGCGCGTCCAAGCAGGGACGCAAGTCTGGCGTTCCTGCCCAACTCGTGCCAGGCAGCGGTGCGGACAGCCGCGCCGCATCTGGCGCTCTGCGTCCACCCGGCGCAGACTTTGCCAACAACGGCAACTCGGCTTACGGCGCAGGAGGTCCAGGACCTGCAGGATCAAATGTAGCCGTTCACGGTGCGCAAGTAGCAGCGACCGGGGACGCTCTCAACACACCCAGGGACAGCCATGCGGGCGGTCTGTCATCTGGAGCTGGCGTGCCCAATGGCACTGGTGGAATCGAAGGGGGAAGGCGATTGGATGGTCGAGGACCTGTGCAAGGCGGCTTGGCTGGTAGCGACGCTCACCAACACGCTCATCCCGCCGAGAGGAGAGGCTTTGGCGCCAAGTTGGTCGACTTCCTCACCTGCAGGTGTGCTTAGACCCACGATAGAGTCGCCCGCCTCGAATCGATTCACCTTGCTCGCTGCATCTGCCAAGCCTTGAAGCTCTTTAATTTACGGGTCGCGGCATCTCCACCACCGACTACTTCCGATTCCGATGGTCACCGTCACAACACAGTCTTTTCTCTTTCTGCGGCTCAGGATTGTGGATCTGCGAGAGAGAGAAGGCGGAGACCAGCGCCAGTCATTGGCGCGCGAGCACGGGACCGTCACCTCGACAAATCAGGAAGGTGATGCGTTTTGACTCTCCACCGAAGAGCCATTTCTTTTGCAGTCCCGCCCATAGCCCTCGCCCACCTCAAACGTCTACAATTCAATCTCCCCACCTTCACGTCATGCACTCATGCACTTTCCCACGAAGCACATCGCCAATCCTCTCCCGACCTTCGCCTCGCGCCTGCCTTTCTGCTTCACACCGAAACCTTTTGATCCGAATCGCAACCGGCCGAGAAGAGGTTTAGTCCTTATGTGACTCTCATCCCACACAACGACATTCAAAAAGGTTCACACCCTTGCGCAATTATACATCTTTTTGGCAGTTTGCGAGTGCAGCAAGAGCGTAGGCAAAATGCACAAGGTCAAAGATTTGATTTGTGTTCTTGGTCACTTTGCAAGGTGTGCTCAGTGCTGAGAATGGCCTTGTGGTAGGTGATCGGTTCTCTCGCTTACCGATGGAGGTGCAAGTCGCACGGGGGAGAAGCGGGGCCTCTGTGTGAAAGGTGCGAGCGGAAGGTGCGATGTTGGAAGACTGGTGACTGGGAACCAATTCTTGATTCGTCCATCAAGCTTCTTTTGTCCTTTTGGAGGCGAGCTCTTCTTGGATTGCAGGGCTCGCGCTCTGCTCTTGCTGCGGCTAGAACAGCAGATAAGCCTTTGGTATAGGTAGTCAGAATGCGAGTGCCGTCTGTACCCGACATTTACGATGGCAGATGCTCTGATGGTCGCATGTTTGTGCCTCTGCAGACCGATAAATGCGCCCTTTGGCATCCTGCCTGCATATCATATCTGGCGCTCGCGCGACTGCGTTACCGAGCTACATGACGAACATAGGGGTCCTATAGCTGTTCTGTATGCGATTCCGGGAAAAGGGTCGCTACTGTGAGACTAGGTACATACTGGGACGATTTCACCCCTGAATCCCTGCTTCCGTCGCTAGAGACCAACCAACATACCTGCTGCATCCACATCGGAGAGCGCGGCAGACTCTCTGATATCCTCAACACGTACGAAGCTCATCGGATAACGCTGCAAGGGAGGTAGCTAGTTGGTCTTTCATGCTGTATTCGTCCTTTGTGATGATACACGATTCGTGTCTTCATTTTTGCGAAAGCTGCCCTTTCCCAGCCCTGGTAAACTGAGCTGGATTCATTCACACATTCATTCACCTTGACGGATGCAACCTGATGGCTGATGGCGTGCATGGGAAGGAGCTAATGGGGGGGCTGAGTCTGATTGCGACCGGTACCGTGCAACGCGAAACGTTACGATTTAGCGTGGTTTTGGACTTTGGTGCTGCTTGAATTCCCTTTCAACCTTCTCTTCCGGCTAGTGACTGACGTGAATGTGCAGCGGCGATCGAGTTGTCAACAAAAGTCGTGGGTCGTGAGTCGTGAGTGAAGGAACAAGGCGCATTGACTTACAAGTCGCGCTGCTGAGCTTTTGCTGCGCCGTCGACGCAGCTTACTGACCACTGTGACTCACCACTGCGATGTATGGGAGGCGCCATGGTTTGCGATCCGGTCATGAGTTTCTGCGCGCACCGATCACCGTCGAGTGAGCATCAGGTGTACCAACAAGGCACACATGCACAGACATACTTCCCTCACTTTCGCACGCCCACGCCCACGCCCACGTCCACGTCCACGTCCACGTCCACGTCCACGCCCACGCCGGTCCGTTGGGTCAAAGACAGCCGAATTAGTTTAGAACCCGCCTTGCAATTTTGTGGGTCGGCGTACGTGCGGTACGGCGCTGCATGCGCTGCTGCGCGGCGGATGAGTGAGTGAGTGCCTGATGCCGATCCATGGAATGATGCAACGCGCCCATTAATTCACGATTGTTGCATGCATGCTACACCGCGGCAGCTTTAGTGGTAATAGCTGATGAGCCTCAGCAGCATGCATGGCACTCACACTGTGACTGCTGTATGATGCTGCCTCTCCCGCGTCTCTGCCCCGCGCTTGAGCTAACGCGCACCGCGCCCGCACGCACGCGCGCACACATGATGATGATGCACACTCTGAATCACTCATCAGACTTTTGACTTGCCTCTTTCAGCAAATGAAGTGGGAAAAAGGTAGAAGATCAGAGGTACGACGATCTCTGCTGAACCATTGTCCATGCACAGCATCCCGTCAAAGCTAGCTGAGCTGGAATCTGCCGCTGCCTCTTGCCATTCCTTTGCCCTTGCTGCAGGCTTGGCTTCCCTACCACACCGCCCCTTCCGCCCCTTCCGCCTCGTCCTATCGCATCTCATTCCAGCGCAATCTCTGACTCACCATCCTGACTCTTTTGTTCGCACATCGGCTTCGCACCTTACGGCAGCTCTTGTTGCTTTCCCCCCAAACCTTTGACGAAACGAAAAACCAATGAAGGGCCTTCTTTCTGTTCTGTAACGAATCGCGATAGACGAAGAATAAAGGGTGCTACTAACTCAACCCTTGCCAAGACGTGACGAGCATCGGAGGCGAGCGAATCAAGTATCGCAACACGCTCCAGCAATTATAGCAGGCCAGCACAGCTCGGTGCTTGTACCTCGAGCTGCAAGATCGACCTCAGGGTCAGGAAGCGAGAATTACAATTGCCGGTCCGGGGTACAAAGGTATTGCGCAGCCTACTGCACAAGATCTAGGAATCACCAATCTTTCTGCCAAGCTTGTGCCTCCCGCAGCGACTGGCTCGTTGGGTTCGACGTCACAAGCTGTACAAAGCTCCTTCGCAATCTTTCTTTCTTAAACCCTCCCGAACCGCTTGTGCTACTATTTCTGGGCGTCAAGGCCCAGTCAGCTTTCGAAGCAGCGGCAGCATCGACCCTAGCTCGAGGGAGGAGTCACGCGCAGGACGTCTTGTGAGCGAAAAATATCTTCAGCTGGAAACGTGGCTTGCTGAACGGAGATAGGGCGCGCCCAAGATGAAGGAGACCAGGGTGGTCATCATGGGAGGTGAGTGGCCTTACGGGCAGGGTGCCAGGCATCGCAAAGCGGAGGGTTCCTCCACTCTTCCCGCGAATCTACAGCTGGCCTATGCGCGCTCACGAAAGAAGCGGTCACCTTGAGACAATCGCGTTGTGGCTTTCGAGATGGCACAAGAGGAACGGGGAATGGCATGCTGGAGTGGAAAGGGAGCAAAGGATGTCGGAAAGGTGCACGATGCCGTACATACATTCCTCGAGCGCATGGAAGGAATGTTCGAAGAGGGGTGCATTGACTTGTCGAGGCAAAGTGCTGTGCACGGCATGTCCCGGCTGCTTGCTTGAACAGTCTCCTACCTCCCTCACGCGAGAGGTCCTTGGGTCACTCGCCCTTTGCGAGCATCATAGCCAAGCGCGTAGTTCCTGGGCTCAAAAGCGGGCATCTTGGCTCATCAGTCGGGAGGTGGGAAGATCACTGGCTCTCTTTGCAGAGCAGAGGCTTACCGCGAGTCTCTCTCAAAATCGACAGGTGGTGGAGTGGGCAAATCAGCTTTGACAGTTCAATTTGTTCGAAACGTCTTCGTAAGCACTTACGATCCGACAATCGAGGATACGTACCGGAAACCTATCATCATCGATGGGCAACACTGTCTGGTGGAGATCCTAGACACGGCAGGGTGAGTCCTGGGCGATACGAGATGGACTGCTCTTCGGAACCAGCATATGCTAACGAACCCGGGGGTACCACGACTGAGCAGCACGGAACAGTTCATGGCGCTCAAGGAGTTGTACATGAAAAGTGGGCATGGATTCATACTCGTCTTTTCATTGACGCATCTCGCAAGTGTTAACGAGCTTGGTCCGCTGCGGGAACAAATTGTTCGGATAAAGAACTCCAAGGTGAGCCTCGCGCAAGCGTGAAGTATCAAAGAGGTAGAGAGAGGTCCGTGTGAGCTGTCAGACACGTCTCGATCATGAGCTCATTTCTACCCGCCTCGTTTCTGCAGGTTCCGCTCGTGCTTGTGGGCAACAAGTCGGATCTGAGGGCGGAGAGGCAGGTTCCTCGGGAGATCGGAACCAATCTGTCGAGGGCGTGGGGAAACGTGCCATACTACGAGACCTCTGCTCGGAAACGGATCAATGTGGATGAAATATTTGCGGATGTGGTGAGACAATGTAGGGCTTTCGATGCGGCGCACTACGCCAGTGGGGCGAAGGAAAGGGGCAACAAGGACAAGAAGAAATGCGTCGTCATGTAAAGCGGTGCAAAGGTGGCTCGTTTCTTTTTGGTCCCTACCATCTCGCTTTACCCACACCATCGCATCTGCTTGCCCCTTTGGACTCTTGGCACCCGCCGCATCTGCGCTCGACACTGGTTCGCACTTCTTTGTTTCTCGATCTTTGCTGCACCTTTTGCCCACTCCTCGATCTCGCCTCTTGCTGCACCCACTCATAACCTCGATACCCCTCCCTTCCCCCACACACCAAAAAAACGTCCAAGCGTCTCATCTTCTCCATTGTGCAAAAGTAGCCCTTCTGAGGACGGCGTGCATCTGCTGCAATACAAAATCCATCAAACGGGCCAGGCGAGGCGCAACGCGTCAGCTAGTCGTCCTTCTCGCAGCGGCGTGCGTCGAACAGCTCTTCCGCTCTCGCAAAGTCTTTAGAGTTTCTCTCCTCGCAGCGCTGCCGATGTACCGCATCTCTGGCTCTACGCTGCTATAGCCGTCAGCCCAAGGCGCCCTAGCGAGCGTCACTTCGCTCTCTCGCACCTACTGTACTCTTACCCCATGTGGTATCTTTCTTGCACATGTCTTCAATGCAATCTTTGCTCGCCTGGCGCACCGCACATACCTCGACAAGTTTGAGCAGCGGTTGCTCTCCCAACGATTTCCACGCATATCTTGACTGGCTGGCTGGAAGCAGGCCTGGAGTAACGGGTCGGTCATGTCATTGCAAGAAGGGCAACATGTGAAGAAGACAATCTAGTGCAAGGAGCGCGTGTGGGAGAGAGGGAGAGAGAGAGAGAGAGAGCATGAGAAATTTGCTTTGTCTCTGACTAAGCCCAATTGCCGACGACGGCCATGCCAGCGGCGCCCACCGCGAGCGAGATGGCGGCAGCGGCGCCTTGAACGGCTGGTGCATCCCTCAGGGGACCAAAGACAAAGTCGGCAATCATGAGCTCCATTGCGGTGAAGAGGAGAATGCCAGCGGAGATGGAGTTCAAGATGCCGATAGCCAGGGCAGATGTGCTTGCCGTTTCGGAAAAGGATCCTCGAATGCCAAGCCCGATTGCCATGCCTGTCGGAGTGGTCAATGAGTAGGCGATAGCCATGAGGAGCTTGAAAGAAAGTCGAACAAATCGTCCATCCAGCAAAGCTATGCGTCCGCCCAACGCCAAGCCTTCGAACATTTGATGAAAAGTCATTGCAATGAGCAGAGTGACAAACGTGTCTCCGCTCGACGCTCCGAGCGATACGCCAATGATGACCGAATGAAAGATGATGCCCGCTTCTAACGCTATCACTTCGAACTTGGCCACTTTTGCGTGCGCGCGCGCTGCATCCAAGTCCGAATTTGATGCCGATGCAGCTTCGTCGTGCGCGTGCGGTCCAGACCGCTTCTTCAAGATATCATCATCGCTAGGCGGTTGATTGATTGGTGCCTGATGCTGCTGCACACGATCTGTGCTCGATGCAGCGCCCTTCTGATGAGAAGGCCCATTTGCGGCGATTTGTTGATGCGAGTCAGTCTCATCGAGGTCCTCTTCTGCCCCGGACATTCCCTTGCTCTTTCCGCTAGGCGGATCTGGGCGCGCCAGCTCTTCATCTGTCAGAGGTATCGGCATCCTCAATCTGGGTGCGGTGCAGCACAATCCTCCATCTAGCGTTCCAGGAGGTACAGCTGCGCCGTTCATCGCCGCTGCTTTTCGTCTGAGACCTCGAAGCAGAAAGAAATCCAGGACAAAGATGAGATAGAGAGATCCCATAGCTATTGCTGGCGAAGTAGGCTCAAAGGAGAGCTCTCTGGAGGAGAAGCGGACGAGAGCTGCATTGGTCGAAGGCCTCGCACGCGATTGCAGAATGAGCTGTGCTACTCACGGGAAACAAGGGCTTTGAAAGCTTTCGAAAGCTTCGTAGAGCAAGTGTATGAATGCTGTGCTGAGAATGACTCCCGTGCCAATGTGTCTTAACGCAAAGAAGCACATGTCTGCAAGGTCCATCTTTGCCCCATTCCCCTCGTCTGCCCGAGCCGCGGTACTGGACAGACCTTTGCGCGTTTGCGATCTACGTTTGATGAGGTACAACTGGCGTGCTCTAGAAGCTAGAGGAATCAGCGTGCCCAGTAGAGAAGCGATCAGGATGACAAAGATGCCTCCGATTGCCAAAGGCAGCGAGGTTTGACCTGCCGATCCATCGCTGTTTCCCGACGAGGCGGTAAGACTGCACGCATCTGCTTCGCCAGGAGTTCCCACGTCGGACGCTTGACGAGCCTGAATAGCCAATTGCAAGGCTCTCCGAGAGAGTCGACGCGCTGTGGACGCTGGCACTGCTTGGGCGAGCAAGGCCAGAAGGACAGGATAGAGCATCGACTTCATGCTTGAGACTGCGTTGCGGAAAGAAGACATGCTGCGCAAGAGGTTGATGATCGTGGCGTAAAGATGGTGTGGAGATTTTCTAAATCAAGCAGCCAACGCAGATGCTTCCAGCTAGGAGGGCCCTTGAAGCTTGGAGGGACCGAGTAGCAGTGCTAGACACTCATATAGGGTAAATGACCACCAAAACGTCGGGCACGTACGAGGTGTGTGAAGAGTGGCCTGATTAGGGGCCGGAGTGCCTCCTCCAAGAACTGAATCGAGCATAGGCCGTCAAATAGCTGCGTATATGCACTTGGCATCAAGTGTTTCGTCCGACTTGCAGGGCTCATCAAGATGAAGTGCATGGCTTGCTTTACTGCGCTCAGGAGACGTTGCGGATGTCGACTATCCGCTGCTGTGGCTGGCCAAGCTCTAGTCCCACGTCCGATCAAGTGAGCAGTGGCCATTTAGAGAAGAGAAGCGTCTGGCTGTGGACAGACGAGCTGCCCAAAGAGGCCCCAAGCTCGTTGATCACCTGCATCCTCTCTCCTCTGACTTCTCAAGAGAAGCACCTGCCATCGCAGCAGTCCTGTGTGCCATGCAGCCATCAGTAGCCAAACGCCGCCACCGCCGATGCGGTACTCCTCAGCACGAGAGCTGCCCTCTAGCATATGAACCCGCGTTCCTGCTGACGCCTTGAAGACTTCAGCTGAACCTGCCAGGTACATCATCCCGGTCTCTTCCGATCGTACGATTCCTCGACGCAGATTGGGCGATCTTGAATTCAAAGGAACCCGAATCCTTCAAAGTCTTGATGATCAGTCGTGATTGTACTTGTACCCGCGAGCGTGTGTGTGGCTGCTTGCAGAAAGTGCATCGCATGCGGGGTCCTGAGGCATTGAAGGCTTGGCTTTTGCTTGGCATCGCGCCAGCAGCATGCAGCTCTCTGCGCGTCTCACGTGAGGCGCTCTGAGACGCGCGGAACATCAAATCAAGAATAATCGTAAGAATTTGAATGCCGGTATTAATCAAGAATTATGAATGCACCTATGCCTGCAGTATCTATATACGCAGTACCTTTAACCGTGATCGAGGTCTGCACGGTCAAGCCTGCGCGACCGAATTAACTGTACCACCTCATCATCCAACACTCATTGGGGAACGATGGTCGGGGAAGTCATCGGAGGTAGCAGGTTCGGATGAGCTCGGGCGCGCAAGACTGAACAGGCTCAGACAAGGATCCCAAATGCTCTATCAATGCCGCCAAGCAAACGGATTGGACAGATTTTGAAGGAGGCTGACAGCGCAAAGCTTATTTGGTATGGGCAGAGGCGAGCGAAGATCATAGCAGGCCGTGATTTGCATTGAGAGTAATGACTCTGATTGAAGTCTTAGTCAGACATCACGTCCAGCCTGAATATCGGAAGGAAGCGCCGGTGACGCCTCGATTAGTTTGAGTCGATGACGGCCTCTGCCTCGGCCCATCCGACCGATTTGGCCACCTTCACGTGGGCGACGTTAGACAGCAGAGCGAGGGTGTTCTAGTATGTATGAGAAGCCCGTTATGCTGCGCACAGATGCTGCCATTCGGGAACACTCACCTCGTCGGTAACGTCGTAAGGCCCGATTGGGATTCTGCCAGTGCGGGCAAGGGGAAGGAAGAAGAACGCGCCCAATTGTCGGTACCAGATCACCATCAATCGGATCGCCAGGCTTCGTCAAGGGCAAGAAGCAATCTGGACCCCTCGCTGTCGCCGACTTGAGAGATTCAAGGCTCCGAACTCACCTGATAGGAGGCAGGTCGAGGACGTATTGACACGAAACCCTAACCGTTTTCTTGCTCCAACGTTTCTTAATGACGTAGTTCTCAAATAGGATGTTGCCTCCTATCTCTTCGACTTTACGCGTGCAAGCTTTGCCAAACTTTATTTTGGCTTGTAGCAGCCAGAAGGGATTATCGTCGGTTGCATTGGGGACGATGTAGCCTGCTTGTGCATGGCAAGAATCAGCACAAGTTCGACAATTTAGTCCGGAATCCATTACTAGACTTTACCGTTTTCAAGAAGCCATCACGCAATACTCACGATGAGCTGTGCCAGGGTAGCTCAAGCGTGATCGAGAATCATCGGATCCCGAACCTGCGCTGGTCTCTGGCTGCGTCGCCTCGACAGCTATTACCTTTTGCGTCGCAAGGGTAATCAAGGCCATCAAGGCAGCAAGGAGAAGCGATGAGTAGCGCATAACGCAGACGTAGGCGTAAGAAGTGTCAAAGCGGCAAGTAGCAGCTCTCGTCGACAAGTAGGGGAGGGATAGGCAGGTGCGAAGCTTCAGCGGGATGGAGAGGGTGCTGGACGCGAGGGTGGTGGGTTGGCGAAGAGCGTTGAAGCGCAAAGACGAAAAGATGCGGCGCGCACCCTACGGGGGAAAACAAAAACAATACCAGACAGTTCACTTTTGGAGCTTTGCGCAGAGCAAATGGCTGGTGGACTTGCACGCTCCGCCCGCTCTCCAGACAGAATGAACACGGGAATTCCGCGCCTGACCACCCCAACGGCTCGGGTGTCGCCGAGGAAAGCTGCTTTGCGCCAGAAGTTTGGTCCTACAGGTGCTGTGGCTCACTCCCACAGGTTTTTTGCTGTGATTGTGGATCTCGGTGAAGAGGCAGCGGCGGGCCTTGTCCAGCGTCGAATTCCAAAGAAACGCAGTGTCCTCGGGTTCCGTGACGCGGCGGTCCGGAATCGCCTTCATTCTGCGGAAATCGCTGCTCAACCGTGCAGCACATTAAGCACGCGGTATCGGTTCATGAAGACTCGACTGTCGCTATTGCATATTTGCATGGCACAAGGTGTAACGCGTGCTCCGAACCAGACTGTCCAAAAGTCCAAGTCGGCGGGCCGGCGCGCAGCTGAGTACAAATGCAGTCCGCGGATCACCTCATTCACCTGCGATCGATCGCATGCCTTGGAACGCGTATGATGATGGTTCTTCACACTCCAGGCACACTATCAAGGCTCAGAAATAGCGGCCTTGAGGTGTGCGAGAGGGCACGCATACGCATTGCGACGCTGTGGGCCATTCACGCCCCCCCCTCCGCCGTCGGTGCCTGCCGAGCAAGTGTCAATGGCAATCACGGCGGCGATGGGCGCATGGCATCTTTGCTTGCCCGACGTACAGTACGAACTGCCCGAATATCGCAACAGCATTTACGCGACCAAAGAGTTTCAGAGCAGGATGGTCGATGATGACTCTGGACGCCAAAGTGGGGGTATATATAGCAGCTGTACCTGACACCGGTACGCCACAGAGACCGACACAAAAGTGAGTCATGTGGCGAAATTACCTTCCAATCGAGAGCCAAATGAGCATTTGTGCGGCGGACACGTATCATGGATAGGATCAGTGGCTGTGTGGAGAAGCGCCATCAGAAGCATTTGTGCACACATCATCGTCTGCGCAACATTCCCAGTTTGACTTTGACTTCGCGGAGCATAACGCTATGTGCAGCTGCTGCTGTGTGCTGCCGGTAAGACCATTCGACAAAGGCCGGACGGAGAAGTATGTGTGTTTGTGAGCAGAGGAGGGAGCTCCATCAGCGCTATTTGAACCCCGCGCGAATCATCCGCGAATTCGCAACTGCCCCAATACGTCCATCTGCCTCCCTCATCTACACCCATCCACACACTCATACGCTCACAACCTCCCCTCCCACTCCACATTCAATATGCGTCTATCTGTTATTTTCGGCTTCGTCTTCAGCGCAATCACTCTCACTTCGGTGGTTGCTGCGCCGCTCGAGGATCAGCCAAAGCTAGTCCACAAAGTAAGCGACGGTCCAAAGCGTGAGTATCATACGCTTCTGCCCGACGCGCTCAAATTGCACTAGCTGCTTTCTTCTGAACTGAGCTCTTCACTCACAAATCTCTCCCCTCGGCTCCCTTCCCATTGAAATCTCACGTCGGAAGTGTTCAAAGTCGCCAAGGATCAATCGGACCTGGGCGATTTCTGGCTGGAACAATCCAAGCAAGATTTCGGCGTTGCCTGCGCCGAAAAGGTCCGCGATACATCCGACGGACTCTTGACCTATGAAAACTACGTCATCCTTCCGCCCGCATTCAACGTCAATGTTCATGGAGAAAAGCTAGATGAGCAAAAGTTTGTGATCCAGGCATCTTGCAAATACACGCTCGATGTGTCGGGGACCAGGTAGGTGTTTGCTGGTCCTCTCTTCGTGACAAGACCTTGCATGGGTGCCTCGCGGCTGACAAGCTTGTGCTGCGCCTTATCATATCGTCCTAGACTTCCATGGACTTCGACTGAGATCACGGATAAGGTGGGTAGTCGAGGAACGCAACAAGCCTTGATCTTGTGCCTCCAAGTCGTGAGCTGACCACTCCTACTCTCATTGCCGCTACCACAGGTGGCCAAGTCTCTGCATTGGGACTCCCTGCCCACCAAGGTGCCGGCTTGAGCCGATAGTGGGCATGAACAAGTGGCACAAGAGTTGCGACGGCATGCTCCTACTGTTGTCCATCGCACTGTCCTGATCTTAGAATGCACTACCTAACACTGTCAAATCGTACCTGCATTGAACGCGTCGAATCGCGAAGCCTGTCCAATGCTATGAATTGTCGTTGTCCATTCATTCCTAAAATGAGGGCCCTTCTATGATGTGCGGTATCATGTCGTTTTTGGGGGGCTAAGGTATTGTCGCTAGCTCTGCACAACGTTCTGTATCTCGCTACCACAAGCCTCATTGCACATCTTCACCATGAAGCTCATCCTTGATCGCCTTGATGGCCCTCTCGCTCGCTTCCTGCTCCTTCAACCTCTGGCTAGCCTGCGAATCCACTCCAGAAGCGGCTCTGAGTGCCGAAGATCTGTCTCCTCCCACTGCAAAAGCTCGAGTAAAGCTGAAGACTTTACGTCGACGGGCGTTGAAGTCTGACAGGCTGCCAAACGTCGCACCGACCAAAGCGAAAGGCTGTCAACAGGCAAACTCAAGACCTTAAGGCACGTCAGTACTCACGCTTCCATTATCGATAATCCTCGGTAGAAGTACTTTGAGAAATAGAAGAGGCACGAGTCAGCGATCGCAGGCTCAGCTCCTGCTCGAGGCACAAGCTTCAGCTCACAAAGTAGCTCCACCAAGCCCCGATCCAATCCCTGATCAAGCCGAGGCTCAAGCCCTGCTCCTTTCTTCTCCTTCTCAGATTCTCCCTATCATCATCCCAGACTGCCAAGGCGCAGTACCTAGCAGCAATAATGAAGGGTCTGGCAGCACCGTGCGTCGTGTGTAAATTGTAGTCAAGTGAACGCGTGAGGTCGTTGATCTTCAGAACCATGAGCATCCGTCTAGGGACGCGCCGAAGCATGTCCAGGATGGAGACGAAGAGGCCTTCTTTCGCCATGACGGTCTGCGACAAACGACAAACGTGTATGAGCGGCAGCTGCATGGAATCTCTTGCAGGTCTCAGAACCTACTCACGTCGCGAATGTGCTCCTGCTCTTCGTCGCTCACATCTTTTCCGGAGGTCACGGGCTGATCGAGCAGACTACTGGCTCTCGGTCTGCCCTTGACTCCGTGAGGATTGCTGGGGTCGCTACCCTCCAATCCACTCTTTCCCGTGATGGCGCTCTCCAAAATGGGATAGAGCTCATCGGGGATATTCGCAATGAGAGAAGCCAGCCTTCGACGCTCTTCTTGCACTCTGGGGGTGCTAGGAGACAAGAGCGCGAGCCAGAAACGTGCATAGTCCGTGCGCAACTTTTTGTCGATGTCAAATGTAAGACCAAAGTCCAGCAGAACGAGCTCGAAGTTGTACGGGCTTCTGCTTCCAGGCAACGCCGGCCGGATCAGCACATTGCCAGCGTGAGGCTGCGGGGCACCATTGCTATCGCATGTAAGTCTCGCTTCTCAGAGCGTCTCTTCTTCCTCCGAGCGCATTTGAACTCACGTCTCCGTGGAAAAATCCGTGCATGTACAGCATCTGAGCAAAGACCCTGCTTAATTCCTGACTGACGCGATTTCTGTCGATTCCGTGCTTCTGAAGATAATTCAGGTCGTCGGGCCTCCTGCCGTCGATGTACTCCATGACCATGACCCTCTTTGACACGTGCTCCACTTTGGGAATGTAGATGGCCGTCTTTTTGTAGTGGGCAAAGTCCGACACCATCTTGCGGGAAGATTCCGCTTCGTGGCGGAAGTCCAATTCCAGAGGTAGATTCTAAGTCGGCCACGCAGCGCAGGCAGGTAAGCTGGCAGCGCGCGCCTTGCTGATTCACAGCACGCAAGGCTGCTCACCTCATTCATCTCCTCGGCCAGCCAGGTGAACTCGAATTGAGGGAATATGCGCTTGACCCACTTCACGAGGACATTCACAGTCTTGACATCGATGATGCTGAATCTCTCCACCTCGGGATGCATGAGCTTCACAGCTTTCCACTGTCCCGTTTTTCTATCCTTGGCTCGATGTACCTGGGCCAGGCTCGCGACGCCCAAAGGGTTTGCGTCAAATTCGGAGAACATTTCCTGAAATGTGGATCCTGTTTCTTGCCTGAACATGGCTTCCAAGGCTGGTAGCGGACTAGGTTCATTGGCATCTTGCAAAGGCCGAAGCGTCTGAGTATACTGCAAGGGAAGCAATGCGATGGAAGACATGTGTTGACCCAACTTGATGTACAATCCTCCATTCTCTTGCAGGGCTGCCAGCAATCTATGCGCAGAGCGCAGATGACAATCGTCCAATTCGGCTTGCTCTGCCTCCTTGGACTCGTACTTGGCGTTGAGCGTCTTTCGGTAGTCCCACACGCACAGGGCCACTGCAGTGGCGATCACTGTGCATCTGTGCGAGCGCGGGCGTAGAAGAGGAATGAAAGCAGCCTTGCGAGATTAGCGCATGCTCGGAACAGTCGTGATTGGGATGCTTGGTATACCGGCTGCTCTCACCTCTTGACGGCAATGACGGTATAATTTCCAGCACCTTTGCCAGCTTCTGCCTCTTTGACCCTCTTCTCCATCTCCTCCACCGAGATGTCGATGCCCTTGAGGGCAGGATGTTGTCGCTGACCGTGCGCTTCATCCGCATACACGCTCGAGTAAGTGAACCAAGCAGCCGCAGCTGCTCCCAACAGCACGGCAGCAGCTACAGCCCCCTTTCGGCTCGTCTCTCTGAACTTGGCATGCGCTTGCTGCGTTTCGGCTGGATTGGGAACGGCAGGCTTGTCGAAAACGATGGGATCGGGCTGAGCTGCGGGCGGAGGATAAGTCTTTCGGAAGGGTCTGCTATCCGATCCTTTTCCATGTGGACCATGATGCTCGGATGCCGAGCTCGACGCATCGCTTCGAGCAGAAGAGGAAGAGGCAGCGGAGGTGCTTTTAGACTTGTTTCGAGGCTGCGAAGGAGGTTTCCAAGAATAGGTGGGAAATGCGGTGGATGTGGACGAGGAGGCATTCCTGGATGGCAGTGCGGATCTCAGCCCTGCACAAGCTGCGCAAGAGCTTGTTGGCACCGCGGTCTTCCCCGAGCTTTGAAGACGAGCCCGTGCCCAAACGGGTCTGCTGGTGCTCGCTGCCTGCCGAAGCAGAGCTGCGCCCGACGAGCTTGCTAGCATGACGATGCAAGCAAGGTTGCCGCCCTATCTATCCGAGATTATCGAGCTTTGAGCAGACACATGCCTCCAATTGGCACGTATTGGGAGCTGTGAGTGCAGCAGGTGCAGAGATGGGTTGAGGTCAAGGAGGATGTTCGCGATGCGCCCCCATGCTTTTCGCCTTGTCATGATCAAAATCGTGAATAGCGTGGATCGGAAGTCTTGCCCAGCTCTGCCGTGTTCTCCACGATCCCCCGCACGCACGCACAAGCATCAGCTGTGTCATGCAACGTGACCTGTGACCTCCCCTGTTCTCACCGCGGTCGCATGTTTCCGGCCGGGCGAGAGTCGTCAACGTCCGCCCGAAGCCCAAGTGTGAGAGCGCCGAAGCTCGTGAAATCAAAGTAGCGCAAAAGAGAACTTCTAGACCATTCTGGCGGCCCGGACCCTGCGGGCTGGGAAATCGCGAGTGCGCACGCGCTGACCGCTGACGGGCGCTTGACCTCTGGTTGGCTGTCACAGCGAAGCGGCCCACCCGCACGCGTTGGCGGCGAAGAAGCTCGTGCGGCCGCCGTGTCGTGAGTCCTGAGTGCACGCTCGCGCTTCAGCGTTGGCGATTTGTCACACGCGGGAAGGTTGCGACGGCGAGGGAGGGGCAAGTGCGCCCGCAATTCATCCTCATCACCACCCACCACTCGTGAATCAGACTTCTCGCCTTGAATTCGCACACTTCCTCAGCGGCGCACACCTCCAATAGCTCGATTCCGAAGAAAGCTCCGCCGCTTGCGAATTTGCTCCTTCAAATTCTTCCGAGGATCGCGAATAGAAAGGCATCTGGTGCAGTGCAATAATCGAGATGAGCTTGCCACGATCAGTTCTGCGCACAGCGCTTCAAGCGCGAGTAGGCGCCTCATCCGGCTCTCAATTTCTTGCCTCTCGTCTGGCCCCTCCCGCAAGCACTTCACAGTCTTCAGCCTCATCTCTTCTCTCTCGTCGATCGATGAGCACATCCAGAATCGCGTGGCAAGCTGTTCCCAAGCAGGAGACGGGACCAACAATCATACCCGGAGACCCAATCGTTGCTGATCCAGCTGCTAAGCGGGAGGCCATCGGCAACGCTGCTTCGTACGCTAATCCCTACGCAAAAGGTCCCAGCGCCATCGACAAGGCTGCGCACTTGTTCTTCTTCACCGAAATTCTTCGAGGTGAGTGGTGTACCATTACGAGCGCGAAGCATATAGAATGTGCCAAGGGCATGAGCATGCTCGTGGCGTACGACTTCACCATGATGCTCCCGGTCGCCTTCAAAATCAGCGTCCCCGCGTTTGCCCGCGATGCCCGTTCTCGCTGCCAAAAGACTCGAGAGAAAATCGAAACTTACGCGGGATCCCCTTTCTTCTTGCGTGCAGGCATGTGGATCGTCTTGGAAAACTTCTTCAGACCACCCTACACGATCATGTACCCTTTCGAAGCCGGACCCTTGTCTCCTAGATTCCGTGGCGAGCACGCGTTGAGGAGGTACCCTACAGGAGAGGAGAGGTGTATTGGTGAGTACATCAGCATGTCGAGACAAGCACATCGAGACTGAGTGTCGATCTGTTCTGCAAATTGCCACACAGCATGCAAGCTTTGTGAAGCCATTTGCCCTGCGCAGGCCATCACCATCGAAGCCGAGCCTAGAGAAGACGGCGCTCGTCGTACCACAAGATATGGTGCGTGTGGCGACTTGTACCTTTTCTGACGCAACGTCGCTCTCAAAGCTGATCGTATTGCCATTGCTTCATGCAATTTGTCTCGATTGCAGATATCGACATGACGAAGTGCATTTACTGTGGTTATTGCGTCGAGGCTTGCCCCGTCGATGCGATTGTTGAGACGCAAAACGCAGAATTTGCTACCGAGTGGCGAGAGGAGCTGCTGTACAATAAGGAAAAATTGCTGGCCAACGGGGACAGATCGGAGGCGGAGTACGCTGCCAACTTGCGTCAGGACCACCTTTACCGCTGAGGCGCGAGGCGGAAGGATACAGGTGTGACGACGATGGTTCCAGCTCACCACGCGCAAAGGCACCCAACCCATTCTTTCTTTCATGACCAGCTCTACGCATTCGAGGTCCTCCAATCTCATAGCAACGTTACCGCAAGCATAGACGTGGGGTATGAGATGCTATCAATTCCATGCGTAAAGGGGGTAACCGAGAGTAGTGGGCCACAGACGAGAGAGACCGGGATGACAAGAGGATTCACGAGTCAGGCTAGAAAGACTCGATGACCACGATCTTCATCGTCGTCCCTGAGTGACAGATTGGTGCTGCCGCTTCCCCTAGCGATGAGCACGACCATGACGAGAGCATGAGCGACTGCAAAGATGACAGCCGTGGAGCACTGTTCCACCAGTTGCAATGTTGGTCTGAGACCGAGGGCCAAATCGTCACCGGCTGCGAATTTGAGGAACTGCAAGATTGCGAGGATGGCGAGGATGATGAGAGCTAGGATGAGATCTAGACGTAATCGTCGACGACGGGCTACGTGTTTGGAAGAAGCTAGCGCTGCGCTTCCGTTGGAGAGGGAGGAGCAGTGGATGTGGGAAACGTACAGACCGTCTGCTTCCCAGGCTGGAAGAATGGGCACGTCGGACATGACTGTACCGAGCGAAGCGCAGGAGAGACTGGACTGAGCCGATCGAGTGGATCGCAATGTGCTCTGTCGACTCATGCGCATCGATGACTTTTTCTGCTCTTGCATGCCGCGAGAGAATGCATGAATGGTCTCGCCGTTTCGATTTGCTCCTTGCCCCGATGCGTCGCAGCTTTTGGAGCTGGCCAGTTGCACCTTGCTGCTCCTTTCTTGCACACCATGATGGTGATTTCTGTACGAGGCTCTTTCGGATCTTTCAATGCCCGTCACCTTGCGATCCTGGGCTCGATTCGAGCCAAAAAGCCGTGCGAGCTCAGCTCCGAAAAGATCTTCCGTGTCAAGCTTGATACCGTTTGTCGTGCCATTCGAAAGGGCCGATCTTCTCCTTTCGAACTCGGCACGACCGTCGTCGTAAGGATTAGAAAAGAGAGCAGCATCGGGAGAACGAATGATGATTCCTAGACCTGCGCCAAAGTCTAGAGTTGCGTGGTTGGAATCGTTGCTGAGGGAAGTCAGATCTCCAGGTCTGAGCTCTCTTGCATCCCACGAACCAGCTCTGTCCATCTTCTCGCCGTGATAGGCCATGCGAGGCGCTTGATCATTCATATCGACATACCAATCCTCTTTGAATCCTCCTGGCACGTCGACCGCACCGCCTTGCTTCTCGATCGACCCATACGACGAGCCGGAATCGGACCGCAACAATTCTGATGGTCTTCTGGATCTTCGAGATCGGGCCAAACGAGCAGCCGCAATCCTGGCGGGATGTGTTGAATCGGTGAAGCGATCAGCAGGACCGCAGCGCATAGCGTTGCTCATCTCATCATGCGGACCAGTAAAGGAGAAGGCGCTACCTCTACGACTTTGAGACAATCGAACCGCAAGTCGAGTCGCTTCTTCCTCTGCACTGCGAGCAGATAGCGTACAGTTTCTTTGAGCTCGCAGATTGATGAGTAGCAAGAGCAAAAGGAGGACTCCCAAAATCCCTCCCTTGACGTAGTCTACCCTTTCGATAGCATTCGCTAGCGCTTGTAGACGATCTGTTAGGGCGTTTGGGCTGCAGACCGGATCCGTGTCAGAACAGGCTCCTCCAAAGATGTCCGAGTTGGCCGCATCAAGCAGAGCGGCCAAAGACGCTTGTACAGCTGACCAGGCTGAAAAGTTGCTCCGACTGGTGAGGACGAGCAGCGCGGTGCTGCCCAAAGCAGCAGACATGAGCGCCAAAGCGAGCAGAGCATTGTTGAATTTGACGAGCCAGGGAGAAGTGCGCCGGGTATCCTTGGTGGGAGCAGAAATGCCGATCAGGAACAAGAACACCAAAGCTCCCATTCCAAAGGCCGCACTCTCCAGAATCTCAGCATTCCGTTCTCCGTCGTTGCTGAGGATCAACCTGTGCAGGATGGCGGCGGAGTTGCAAGCTAGAGCGGATAGTGAGAAGAGGGCGTAGAGAGGTCTCCAAGCGCTCCATTTGCTCCTTTGATTGTATTTGCTCTGACCGCCTTCGCAAGACCACAGATACTTTGCCAGTCTGACCAGACCCCAAAGCAGGTCCGACGCGACGAAAAGACTTGCGAGGAGCAGGAGCGCCAGACAAGTAGCTTGCAAAGCCGGCACAGAGGAGGTCGTGACGGGTAATGCGCGGGTAAAGAGCGATGCTGTGCCGTTGGATGCGCTGCTCAGTGTGCCGTTGGCATTCACTTCCGTGCTGCTTTCCGAATCTGTCAATGTCAAGGAAGCTTGACGAGAAGAAATGTCCTTGGCAATTGATATGATGGAGCGGGCGAGGATGACGGCGGAAGGATCAGAGGAGGAAGTGTTCATGATGAATCCAGGCACCGCTTCTGCGCTTCAAATGCGAAAGGCCTGCTCCGCTACTGCGTTTTCGGGACTCGCTCGACCTGCGAGCCGCTAAGTAAAGAATGTGGGTCTGTCCGGACCTGCGGACGAAATGGCGAGAATGGCGAGAAGAAGAGGAAGAGGAAGGGGGGACAGAAGAAATCGGTTGGAGAGATGAAGAAGAGGAAGGAGAATGGAAAAGCAAGAGAAGAAGTGAGGAGATGAAGGTGGTGAGTGGCTGGAAAGGGGAGCGCACAATTCGGCTTGCCGTACCATTCAACGGCGTGCAGCCACATTTTGACATGGGCAAGCATCATGACATGACCAGGGGGTCGCTCATTGTACCGCAGCCATGGCTTGCACCTTGTCTTGCCTTTCCAAATACCCAAGCACAGCGTGCTGGCTCATCCTCGAGTCTTGCAGGGCAGACTCGGGGAGCGTGGCAGATGCAAAAGCAGCGCAAGTTGTCGGACAGGGACAGACGCAGTGCGCGAAGGGCTGGCATGCCGAGCAGCAACAATCGTCAATGTGAATGCGAATACGAATAGGAATACGAATGCCGCGCGTAGACGGGGACATGGCTTGACTTTCCTCATTCAATGTTAGCGTGCTCATTCTCAACGGCAACGAAGAGCATTGAGTCCTGTCTTGGCGAGACAAGGAGCAGTAAAGCAGCGTGGGCGTTGAACGGATGGATGGATGGAGAGATGGATAGATGGATGGACGGTGATGCTCCTCAAGCGCGAAGCACGAACAGCCAGCAGGAAAAGAGCCTTTGAACGTCTACCTACTCGTGACTGTACTCGCGGTGTTGGCGCTAGCGGTCCATGCAGACGCCTGCCTGCCTGCCTGCCTGCCCGCCTGCCCGCCTGCCCGCCCTTGGAAGCTCACGATCTTGGATGCAAGATCATTCACGATTCACGATGCGCGATTGTTCCAGATACCATCCACATCAGCACGCGCGCGCATGCAGCTCATCTCATATCTCTATTATGCTACAGCTAGGACAATCTTGAATCTTGAATTAATACTCACGACTGCAGTCACAACAGTGACGCGCGAGTCTGAGTCGTGAGTCACGCGCATGATCATTGGCACCGTCGGTTCGGTGCATGCGCTTGTCAAATTTGTGATTCGATGAGAAGAGCGCCAAGCAACAAGCTTGACATCTTGTAATCAAACGCTTGATCCAGATTAAGTTCTGGAGAGCCCGGCGTGAGACGCACAAGAACAGCCTTCGTTCACTTCTTCCTGTCTCCCATTCGACTTCTCGGCAATCACTTTCGCGCACTGACCAAGTCTCGTTCGACCATATCCAGCTGTTGTTGCACCTTTCAAGCACGTCAGCGCTCGGCGGGGAATTGCTCGAGCGAGGGTCAAGATGGACGAAGTGATTCCTCACTTGTGGCTCGGCGACCTGGCCTGCGCCTTGGCTCCCGATTACCTAGAGCTAGCAGGGGTGACGCACATTCTCACAGCCATGAAGCAGCGTCTTCCACCGCCGCCCATGCTTCCAGGCGGCCGAAGCATCCCTTCTTCCAGCATGCATCATGTCAAAGTGGATGATTTGGATGACGCACCTATCCTCGTCCATCTACCCGCCGCCGTCGATTGGCTCAAAGAAGCGTTGGATGAGACGTGGGTGGAAGCGGAGGAAGAGGGAGAAGAGGGTTGGTGGCAACCTGGAGAAAATGTCGTCTATGTCCATTGTCAGGCTGGCGTAAGTAGGAGCGCCACAATTGTCCTTGCCTACTTGATGCACACGCGCTCCCTCTCTCTGCAAGAAGCGCTCGAGCTGGTCAAGAGCAGGAGGTCTCACATCGAGCCCAATGCTGGCTTCATGACCCAATTGGAATTGTACGAGGCGGGGGGGTGTGCGGTGGATGTGAGGCATCAACCCATCAGGAGGTTCCTCATGTCACAAACGAGCATCTTGAACGGCGATAGCATAGACGACGTCTTGCTGGCCTACTATCCAAGCCCTCCCGCTAGCGAGAGCAGACGAAGGAGCAGCAGCGCTACAAGCTCCGGATCCGGCAAACCGAAGCTCAGTCCAACCACGATGAGCCGAGTGAGCAGCAGATCGGGGGCAAGTGAGACTTTGGATCTATCCAAATCGCCTCCCCTACCTGCCGGAGCCGAGCTGCTAGATACAGATCCTCAACAGCGAGAAGCTTCACTAGCTGCACCTCGAGCAACCTCGAGCACAGAGTCATCCACAACTATCGCACCCTCACGTCCTGCGAAGCTCCAGTCGTCCGTGACGGGCCCACCGAACATCGAATTCAAAATCACTGCCAACAATGGTCGACTTCCGGGCGGAGTGAAGAGTGTGCGGGGCAACGAAGGCATTCGAAATAGAGGCACTTTGCAACGACCCACCTTTCATGGACCCAAACTGTCTTGCAAAATGTGCAGGAGGGAATTGGCGGCGAGCGATCATGTGGTGGATCATTTGCCCGGAAGCTCGAGTGGAAAGGGCACTTTTCAATCTAGAAGGAGGAAAAAAGACTGGGAGAAGTTGAGCAGGGAGGAAAAGTTCGGGTCTTCTTCTTCGGCTGCGAATGGCGCTAGAGGACCGCGAGGTTGGCAGCAGGCTCACGATGGTGCGAATGTGGGGCAGGAAGAGCTGCCCAACGCTTCGGGCAGTGGAAAGACGAGTGCTTCGGACGCTGCGTCAGTATCCGAAAGCGATCAGACGGCGCTTGCCGATCAAGCGGTCCGGCAAGAAGGCGACGCAGTGGCGGAAAACCACTCTGCTTCCTCTGCTTCAACTTCGTCTGCCACACCCACGCCCACACCCACGCAGCGTCCGATGCAATCAGCCGCGGCGCTGAGCGCCTCTTTGCCACCCGCCCTAGCCGCGTTGCGTCTTGGTCGCTCATCCACCTCCACCACCTCTTCTGCGCCAGCGCCAGCGCCAGCGTTCGCGGACCGATCCGCATCGTCCCAATCGAACGACCATCAACGGACCAGACTGATGCACTCGAACAATTGCAGCGCTTACTTTGTCGAACCGTTGCAGTGGATGTCTGCACTGAAGGAAGGAGAGATTGCGGGCAAGTTGGATTGTCCTAATGCGCGGTGTGGAGCCAAGCTGGGAAACTGGGATTGGGCAGGCATGCAATGCGGATGGTGAGTGACGCTTTGAGAGTCTTGGCAGCAATACCCCCCCCCCCCCCCCCCCCCCCCCCCCCC